AAGGACCTGCTGTATACTTATAATTTCCAAAAGCTAGAATATCAGCATTGGAACTTTAGTTGTTTTGTTTTTGTTCTTTTGAGATGGAGTCTTGCTCTGTCACTCAGGCTGAAGTGCAGTGGCACGATCTCGGCTTATTGCAACCTCTGCCTTCCGGGTTCAAGTGATTCTCCTGCCTCAGCCTCCTGAGTAGCTAGCAGGCATGCGCCACCACGCCTGGCTAATTTATGTATTTTTAGTAGAGATGGGGTTTCTCCATGTTGGCCAGGCTGCTGTCGAACTCCTGACCCTCAGGTGATCCACCCGCCTCGGCCTCCCAAAGTGCTGGGATTACAGGAGTGAGCCACCGCGCCTGGCCTAACTTTAGCTGTTTTATTTACTGACACATTCCCTGCATATCTTATAATGTCTTGCACATGTCAAGTGTTGAATAAAAGAATGCTATGCTTGGCTGAACTGAACTAAGAAAGATGCTGATATTCATAGTTTCATCTTAGATCCAAGAACGTAAGATATTCTATAAGAGAAGAAAAAAATGATTATATAAAAACTATACTGTCTTATCTAAATGGTTTTGGCTTTAAAAAAAACAAAAACAAACAAATTACTGGCTGGGCAGAGTGGCTCATGCCTATAATCCCAGCACTTTGGGAGGCCAAGGTAGGCGAATCACCTGAGGTCGGGAGTTTGAGACCAGCCTAACCAATATGGAGAAACCCCATCTCTACTAAATATACAAAATTAGCCAAACATGGTGTCGCATGCCTGTAGTCCCCACTACTCAGGAGGCTGAGGCAGGAGAATTGCTTGAACTGGGTGGTGAAACTTGCAGTGAGCCGATACCGTGCCATTGCACTCCAGCCTGGGCAAGAAGAGCGAAACTCCAACTCAAAAAAACAAAAAACAACAACAAAACTATATTGTGATAGAACAGTAACTTATGGAGTGTGTGAGTGTGTTTGTGTGCGTGTGTGAAAACAAAAGTCATGAGAAAAAAAAGTTTTAAAAGTACTTGTAATGAGCCATCCACCAAATATGGCACTCAGTTTGATCTGAGTCACTATAAATTAGTTTCCAGCATATAATATAGCTGTCATTTTCATTGGAAAGTAGGGAAAACTGCCAACACTTAAATGAAGACAAAAATAAGAAAAGTTCAGAATAAACTGTAGGCTCTTGGTTTAAGCAGAAATGGGGTTCTTATGGTGGTTTGCAGTTAGCAAACTATATTTGTACTTTGTGTCACTACAGGTTTCTAGAATTTAAGTACTGGCTTCACTAAGGCTGCAGTGAGCCAAGATTGCACTACTGCACTCTAGCCTGCGTGGACAGAAGTGAGATGCTGTTTGTAAAACAAAAAACAGTCAAACAAAACTTCATACAATGTTATTTAAAAAATACTGAGGGGAGACGAAGTGGTAAAAAAGGGAAAACTTAAAACTATCCATAATCCTACTGTTAGAAAATTACATTAAATATGCTAAGTGACATTCTCCCCTCTGAATTTCCAATTCCATTACTTGTAGTAAATATCTTATTCCACAAACTCAGATGTGCAAAAAAAATAGCACTTTACTTTTTACAAAAAATTAATTCTGAGCCTATAGCAACTCTCTTTATCCTATTAGGTAATTAGGAATTTAGTCTCAGATATTGCCATTACCCTTAGGGATTGGCAAGGGTCTCAGGGTTTTATGTAGCACCAAACCCTAATGAGATCTCTTCAGCCATTGAACTTAGTCTACAATGTTAACTGCTGAGGTGTCCATAGTTTTAGACCACATGGTCTCTTTTGGTTCTGGTTCCTCTCCTGCCACTTTTAAAATCAGGAGAATCTTCGGTGAGGCTTTGGAATTCCCAGCTTCCTAGCCCAGCCTCCCTATGGTCCTCTTCTTCAGAGTGCCCCAGAACTCAGACTAGGATCCTGTTTATACTCCAGACACCTTCCCTTCTCTCTCCAGTTCCTCCAGGACAGCAAGCACAATCTCAGTGGGTTTAGATTTTATAAAATTCAGGACCAGAATTGGAAGTGTCTTGCAGACAACTTTGGCTTCTGGCCCTATGACAAACATCTCCCTTGTGGCAAGAGGCCACAAAAAGGTCTGACCATCTACTTACAAAGGAGGGGAAGAAAACACTGGGAACAAACACAAGTTAATGTTCCAAAAATTATACCATAGACTGTTGACAGTTTGGTGAGTCTCTTTCCAGAATGTTTTTGTGCTTATAAAGCAAAAATCTGTCTACACATAAGCTTTTCTTTTTTAAGCAAAAAGGGGATTGTATTATATATATGTGTGTGTGTGTGTGTATACATATGCAGTTATAGCTTCCTTTTTTTTTCACATAGGATAGTGTAAGTATCTTCCTAGAGTGTCCTTATTTTATTTATGACATTGGGTACTCCTCCACTGATGGGTACTCTGGTGATTTCTATTATTTTGCTCTTTCACACAATGGTGTACTGTGCACACATATGTATGTCTCTGTGTTATTTTTCTATCATCACTTTCTAGAAGTGAACTGATGAGGCTGACCAAGTGGCTAGTGAATCAATACTCGGGTTTATTTGCAAACTGTAACATAGTTCTGTTTTTCTGTACTACGGGCCTCAGCCAACTGGTGGGTTGGATAGCCCATGGTTTTAGAGAAAGAGCCTGAAAATGCATTTCTCAACATCTTAGTCTTCATGCATTTGATAAAGTTGGTGGAGTTGGTGCAAAGATTACTCTAAGCATCTCTCTAGCTTGCCTCAGTGAATAGGACTCTCACTATTAATGTATAGGAAACAATAATCTGGGCTTTACAACTAACCAGTTAAGAGACCCTGGACAAATCGTGTCCCACTCAAGGTCTCGGGTAGATCATTTGTAAAACGGAGATGGGACAGACAGATGATCTCCTAAAGACTTTCTGAAGTGATATCATATGTATATCATATGTCCTCTGTGTTCATAAACATACACTGTCCTGGACAGGTAAGGAGATCTGTCTGTGATTGATGACAAGACTTTGGGCTATATTGACTTTGCTATGCCTCTTCAGTTTCCTAATTCGTATTTTACCAACAGTATAATACATTTGTATGAGCTTGTGTTCCTCCAAAAGCTGACCCAGTGACAAGGGTTCAAGTTTAAGAGGTGTGTGTACATATATATGTATATGGCTGGCTTCATTTTCCATATTATTAGGAGTTGGAAGTTCCTTTGAAAAACAAAACAGAAAATTTAAGAAAAACATAAATTACAATTTTGAAATTCTACCATTTAAGATATCTTAAAGTAAAAATTATGTATTAAACAGAAAGCAGAAGAAAAAATTGTTACTGTTATTAAATAATCTATCAACTATAGAAAGCAAATAGTTTAAATTTAATCTTTCAATTAATCTTTAATATTTCAGAAAGCATATCAACATTGCCTAACATGCTGTTTTACACACAAGATATATAATCAATGTTTATTGACACAAATATACATATCTTAAAAATCTTTGGTTTAGCCAGCTAAATTTTTAATATTTTATGAACTAGTTAGTCCTGAGTCATGAATTTACCTATTTTTTTTTTGGAGACCAAGTCTTGCTCTGTCGCCCAGGCTGGAGTGCAATGGCGCAATCTCAGCTTACTGCAACCTCCACCTCCCAGGTTCAATAGATTCTCCTGAGTAGCTGGGATTACAGGCGCCCACCACCATGCCTGGCTAATTTTTGTATTTTTAGTAGAGATGGTGTTTCACCATGTTGGTCAGGCTAGTCTTGAACTCCTGACCTCAGGTAATCCACCTGCCTTGGCCTCCCAAAGAGCTGGGATTACAAGCATGAGCCACCAGGCCTGGTCCCGCCCCCCTATTCTTTTTTGAGACATCAAGTTTCACTCTTGTTGCCCAGGCTGGAGTGCAGTGGTATGATCTTAGCTCACTGCAACTTCCGCCTCCCAGGTTCAAGAGATTCTCCTGCCTCAGCCTCCCAAGTAGCTGGAATTATAGGCACCCACCACCATGCCTCACTAATTTTTGTATTTTTAGTAGAGATGGGATTTTGTCATGTTGGCCAGGCTGGTCTTGAACTCCTGACCTCAGGTGATCCAACTGCCTTGGACTCCCAAAGTGTTGGGATTACAGGTGTGAGCCACCATGCCTGGCCAGATTTACCTATATTTTTATGAGATTTAAATTTTTTTTCAGAGATAGAATCCTGCTGTGTTGCCCAGGCTGGAGTACCGTAGCTATTCACAGGCATGATCATTGCACACTACAGTGTTGAACTTCTGAGCTCAAGTGATCTTCCCACCTCAGCCTCCCAAGTAGCTGGGGCTATAGGCACATACCACTGAGTTTGGTGTATTTTTATAAGATTTTAAAAAGGATTACACCTTCTAAATTATGATGTCCACATACCATTTACTTTTGTATGGAATTATAAGGTGGTATTTTAAATGATGGGAATGAACAACTTGACATGTGTATCAGTAACTTCTAAACATCGAATTCAAACATGTATTAGCTGAAAGTGATGATTCCTCCAGCTCTTATACTAAGAACTTCCATACAAGAGAGCAATATACGTCTTCAAAAACTGACCTAGTTCAATTTGACAAGTAAATAATTTTTCTATGTTTAGGTAAATTTGAAAAACATACATCATTACTACCTCATCCTAGTTAGAATCTCATTTATATTTATTCCACTATGTTTATGATTTTGTGACCAATTTGAAAGGCATCATATTATTAAAAGTGTATCAGATTAGCTCCCTCAACTCACTGTATCTAGTAACTGTTCTGAAGAAATAGGCACTGGCTTTGAATATGGCCTGTTCCAGTTTGTGAACAGTTGTAGGCAAGTAAAAGTGTTGGGCAAAGAGGTGAGCCGTAGGATGACTGAGGGTAAATTATCACTACTGTATATAAAGAAAAATAAGATGTGGGAAGAGATTTGTTATAACATATATGACATATCTAAGTTTTTTATATATTTCAGAATTATAGAAACAAAAGTATGTCATCTTTTCTAAGATGTACTTTTAATAATAAATATTTCTTGATTTATAATGTAAATAAGATTAAACGAATATGGGTTACTCTTGAATTAAAAAAATGGCACATGTAAATGAGCATTTTAATACAAATAATTGGAATATATTTATATATAAATCTACACAATGGTAGATAATACTAAAACTTTGTTCTACAGCACATTACCCTAGACAAAATAGAATTCTAGAATTCTCTTAAAAAAAAAATCACTGAGAAGAATTAGATGATGACTGTGAAATAGGTTCTCCCATTACAATACCACTTCTGTCATTCAAAGTTCTGACAACAGTTGTAGCTGGAGACTGAAGCACTTTACGAGAAAGCCTCATTCTTCCATCGGCTGGGTCACGTCCAAAGTATTTCACCTGTGTTAAAGAACAGATCTCCCTTTAACGTTACAGCACATTGAGTGACATCTCAATTAATAGACATTTAAATTTACATGGTCCCAATAAGGCAATCGTTGTTTTTACTTGTTCACTGAAAGCACAGTTCAGTGCTAAGTGGAGGTATACACTTAATATATATAAGTAGTCATTATAAAAAAAATTAGAGACGGGGGCAGTTAGTTGTTCAACTATAATCTGCTGTTATACACATTTGTGCCTTTTTATTCTCACCAGGCCAAGTCCTTATACTGGGGGAACAGTCACAGACACAGTGAATGATTCTAGACAAGGATTTGTGAGCCTAATTGTGTTATAAAGTATACAGGATTATGCTTGGGTCACTTGGATTTTCACTGCTGCTCAAAGGACTATCACATTAGTGTTTATTTGGCTTCACCTTGGAAAGCAAAAGTCGGGGAAATGCGAAAGGTTTAAAGTTCCTTCTGATGTGAAAACAACAACAAAGAAACCAAAAAATCAACCTCATACAGAGATATTATGTCTTAGCACTCATCTCCCTCTGGAGTCTACTGGGACAGTAAGACTACAGATTGGGAATAAACTAGAAGCCTTAGTTTCTCAGGTCATGAGTATTAGGCATAAGTGAAAGAGAACGTGGAGAAGCCAAAAAAACCAGCCTGGCATTGACTTCTTTCATCCACTCATAAAGGACTACAAAGAAAGGGCCTATTTTGTTACATGAATTCTAGGCCTGAATAACATGGCTCTTACCAAACTCAAAAACTTTTAGCTTTAAGTAGTAGAGAAACAAAGTCTCGCCTCCTCAAAGATGACATTCAAGAATTTCAACAAGTTACCTTATCAGAGTTCTTATGTCAGTTTCCAAATCATGGAATCTGCATAGCTAACACTGACATGCTCATGTATGTTTTAAATCCACTAAAGGGGACTACCATTTCGGCCAAGCTGTAACGTCCTTGAGGGAAGGAAGTGTGTCTTCAATCCTTAATGAGTCTGTTTAAGGACTTCTAAGATTAAAAATGAAGTACTGCATATAAATAATAAACATCATAGATGGTGACTCTTTCAACTTTTTGAAAAAAATAATGGAAGCTTCAAGAACAATTTACAAATTTAAGGCTAATAGGTGGAAAACAAGTACCTGAATTTCTTGGCCAACTTCTAATCCTAGGGCAGTAGGATGTTTAATCTGAAAGAAACCATGTTAATCTATTAGTTGTTGTGCATAATTACCTAGTGTCCATGGAAGTACACATTTTTTTCCCAAGCTTTGTTTGTTTTTCTAATTTAAAAAATCAGTTGGCCGGGCATGGTGGCTCATGGCTGTAATCCCAGCACTTTAGGAGGCCAAGGTGGGCAGATCACTTGAGCTTAGGAGTTTCAGCCTGACCAAGTGGTGAAACACCACCTTTACTGAAAATACAAAAATTAGCTGAATGTGGTGGCGCATGCCTGGAGTCCCAGCTACTCGGGAGGCTGAGGCAGGAGAATCACTTGAATCTGGGAGGCAGAGGTTGCAGGGAGCTGACATCGCACCACTGCACTCCAGCCTGGGCGACAGAGTGAGACTTGTCTCAAAAAAATAATCATCATCGTCATCCAGCTGGGTGCAGTGGCTCACACCGGTAATCCCAGCACTTTGGGAGGCCAAGGTGGATGGATCATGAGGTCAGGAGTTCGAGACCAGCCTGGCCAATATGATGAAACTCTGTCTCTACTAAAAATACAGAAGTTAGCTAGGTGTGGTGGTGAGCGCCTATAGTCCCAGCCACTTGACAGGCTGAGGCAGAAGAATTGCTTGAACCTGGGAGGCGGAGGTTGCAGTGAGCTGAGATCACGCCATTGCACTCCAACCTGGGTGACAAAACATGCCAGGTATAGTGGCTCACATCTGTAGTCTCAGAACTTTGAGAGGCCAAGGTGGAAAGGCTGCTTGAGCTCAGGAGTTTGAGACAAGCCTGAGCAACATAAAGAAACCCCATCTCTACAAAAAAAATCAGCTAGCTATGGTGGCTTGTGCCTGTGGTCCCAGCTTCTCCAGAGGGTAAGATGGGAGAATCACTTGAGCCTAGGAGGCTGAGGCTGCAGTGAGCTGTGACTGTGCCACCATACTCCAGCCTGGGTGACAGAGAAAGACCATGTCTCAAAAACCCCTCAAGTTTTAAGTAACTACTGCTAACATGCCAATGAGTATCCCTTGAGATGTCTATTTAGTGTATGTGTACTGTATTTATAAAAAAGGAACCTCTGTGCTTCTTGTATGTATATATTTTTTTGAGACAGAGTCTTGCTCTGTCAGCCAGGCTGGAGTGCAGTGGCATGATCTCTGCTCACTGCAAGCTTTCTCCTGGGTTCAAGCGATTCTCCTGCCTCAGCCTCCTGAGTAGCTGGGACTACAGGTGCGTGCCACCACGCCCAGCTAATTTTTTGTATTTTTAGTAGAGATGGGATCTCACTATGTTAGCCAGAATGGTCTTCATCTCCTGACCTTGTGATCTGCCCGCCTCAGCCTCCCAAAGTGCTAGGACTATAGGTGTGAGCCACTGCACCCGGCCTTCATTTGCATTTTAAAAAATTGCCGTGGATATTAAATATCTTGGTTGGCTTCTTATAAAAATAATTTGTTCATGTTCTTTACTTATTTTTCTATTGATACTCATCATTCTTACTGATCTATAAAAGCTCTTTGTAATTAAGCTTCTGTCATATGTTATAAGCATTTTTTCTTTAGGTTGCTGATTATCTCTTAACCTTATTGCAATTTTTGTCATATAATTAAAAAGAAATTATGGGGTCAAATTTTATGAATTTATTTACTTTTTTGGCTTTGATATAATGCTGAGAAGGAGTTCTACAGTACTAATCTTATTAAAACATCCAATTTTCTTCTAGTAAACCCACCTGCCCCAACAAAATTATCTTTTTCCACCACCTTTAAAAAAAAAAACACATTTAGCTCTTTGATCCAGCCAGGATTTTGGTATAAAAATGAATAGAGATCCTGATTTTTTTTTTTTTGCACACAGAAAATAATTCAGTCCCAATGCAGAGATCTTGTTTTAAGATAACCAGCAGTACCAATATAATTTATTAAGTAATCTTTAACACTGACTATAATACAACTTCTAGCATATATTATAATCCCATGTATACTATTTCTGGTCTTTGTTTTCTTGTTGCATGGATTATCTATTTCTGGGCCAGTAATATACTGTTTTGTTGTCTATGGCTTTATAGTATATTTTAATATATGGTAAAACAGACACTCTTATTACTCCCCTGACCCCATTGTTTTCTATAGTTGTGTTAGAGATTTTCTGGATGTATGAATTACAACAAAGATTAAATTTAAAAATATCCTAACAATTATCTTGCCATAATTGATTGGTTAGTAGAAAATTGGGGAAACAGAGCTATAGGTAGGTGTTTTTAGTAACTGCTCCTCTAGATGTTCTGCTTCAAAACAGTCAGTGTTTCTATTCCATCATGGAAAGAAAAATATACGTTTTTTTCTTTTTTTCACATAAAGTCTTGCTCTGTTGCCTAGGCTGGAGTGCAGTGGTGTGATCTCAGCTCACTGCAACCTCCACCTCCCGGGTTCAAGCAATTCTCTGCCTCAGCCTCCTGAGTAGCTGGGATTACAGGCACCCACTACCATGCCTGGCTAATTTTTGTATTTTTAGTAGAGACGGGATTTCATCATCTTGGCCAGGCTGGTCTTGAACTCCTGACCTCGTGATCCACCTGCCTTAACCTCCCAAAGTGCTGGGATTACAGGCGTGAATTACCACGCCTGGCCAATTTTTCTTTATGCTGGAAAAAAAGTCTAAAAAAACAAATATGTATGTTAAACATTGTAAAACTTTTGCCAGCAGCATCTCTGCCACTTTTGTTTTCTGTGTCTAGCTAGTAGTAGGCAAAGTGTATAATTCTTATCAACCTAGGTGATTTCAAAAGGGTAGTTTTAAGAGAGTTATAAAAATAATAACATCTGTCCTTTTACCTTTCGTTGATCAAGTTGTGTGTTATGAAGCAGTACTGCAGTCATATTTGGATATAATTTTACCATGACACCAGTATCTCTACAAAAAAGAAATAAGAAGCCTGGTTAAAACAATAAGTATCCGTATATCCATTGACAAATAAAACTGATTATGTTTTCACAGAAGGAACAAGTAGAAAAGAAATCCATTCTTTTATGTTTTTAGAACTATAAAAAGTATACTTTTCAACTGAAAATATACCCTATAAATATGTGTGAATCAAAGTGAAGAAAAGATAAAAAATATGCAGTAAAAAAGCTTTTAGACTATATATTCTTCTGTATTCTACTGTATTTCATAATTTCCAAAAACATTTTTTTTTTTTTTTTTCAGTTGCCCAGGCTGGAGTGCAGTGGTGCCATCTGGGCTCACTGCAACTTCCACCTCCCAAGTTCAAGCCATTCTCATGCCTCAGCCTCCCAAGTAGCTGGGATTACAGGCATATGCTACCATGCCCAGCTAATTTTTGTATTTTTAGTGGAGATGATGTTTCACCATGTTGGCAGGCTGGTCTCAATTTTCCAAAAAATTTCTGAAATGACATAAATATTTTTTAAATAGTGCAAAATATCATAGCATTAACCTGTAAGGTGGGGATTTAAGGGGTGGTCAGGTAAAATGGGATACTTATTTCATTAAAAAAACTAATCTTCCCTTTTTTCTCTAGTCTACAAAAATAACCCATACCATTTCTTATTTTTCACCTGCAATAGTAAATAAATTATCTCATTGCCCTTTTTTGTTTCAAATAGCTCTGAACATTTTTGCTATGCTTGATAATTTCTTTTTTCTTAAAAACGGGATTTTCTGATCCTGAAAATGCAATCTCTTTTAGCTGGTAAAAAAAAAAAAAAAATTTTGAGATTAACATTGGCACTTAAAAATATGTGCCAATTAAGCATTCAGACTATGTTTAAAACAAGCCATCAAAAGAAAAAAAAAGGAAAAACGAAATATTGCTAGGTCTATTTTGGGCCTATTTAATATTTACTGGTAAAATTAAAATGGTGGAAAAATTGGTTAAAGAATTCAGACTGGGTGTGGTGGCTAACGCCTGTAATCCCAGCACTTTGAAAGGAAGCCAAGGTGGGCGGATCAAAAGGTCAGGAGTTCGAGACCAGCTTGGCCAATATGGTGAAACCCCATCTCTACTAAAAATGCAAAAATCAGCTGGGCATGGTGGCGTCCACCTATAGTCCCAGCTACTCGGGAGGCTGAGGCAGAAGAATTGCTTGAACCCAGGAGGCATAGGTTGCAGTGAGCTGAGATCACGCTACTGTACTCCAGCCTGGGCAACAGAGTGAGACTCCGTCTTAAAAAAAAAAAAAAAAAAGAAAAGAAAAAGAATTCAGTTAGAAGAATGTATTATAATTAGAACCACACAACTATGTTACTAAAATTCTACAAAATGACATAGAAAATATACTATACCTTAAAAAGTAATGATTATATGGCAATTGACATACGTAATCTAAACACCTTATGATTTCAAAGTAAATAAAGTAAATGTGAAATTAAATTGGGATTGTAATAGAAATCTGTTAAAAACCAAAACAAGGCTGAGCATGGTGGCTCATGCTTGTAATCCTGGTACTTTAGGAGGCTGAGGTGGGAGGATCACTTAAGGCCAGGGGCTTAAGACCAATCTGGGTAACATAGTGAGACCCTGTCTTTACAAAAAATTAAAAAGTCAGCAAGGTGTGGTGGTGTGTGCTTGTGGTCCTAAATACTCAGGAGGCTGAGGTGGGAGAATTTGCTTGATCCTAAGTGTTTGAGGCTGCTAAGAGGTATGATGGCACCACTGCATCCCACTGTGGCATAAAAAAATAAAGGAAAAAGCTCAGCAGAGAATATTACTTGATATTACCTGATTTCAGTTATTGTGGCAGTATAAACTGCTCCAAATTCTAATTGCTGCTCCTGCTGTAAGTGCAAAATAAGCCATGAGATTCATAAAGAAAACATCAACAAAAAGTAGACAAAACAAATATATCTATATGATATGTAATATGATCTATACTTACATCATCCTTGCAGATTTCAGTAATGAAGTCTCTTGCCTCATGCATAGCACTAGGTGTTGGTGCAAATACAGAAAACGTTTCTTCATCCACCTGACTAACAGTTACACCTTTTAAAAACATAATTTAACATATTAAAGTTAACTTGGCTGGGCATGGTGGGTCACATTTGGAATCTCAGCATTCTGGGAGGCTGAGGTGGGAGGATCAGTTGATCTGAGGAGTTCAAGACCAGCCTGGGCAACACAGGGAGAGCCTGTTACTACAAGAAATAAATTAAAAAATTAGTTGGGCCCAGTAGCATGTGCCCAACTACTTGGGCATCAGAGTCCAAAGGATCACTTGAGCACAGGGGTCAAGGCTGCAGTGAATGGTGATTGTACACTGCACTCCAATCTGGATGACAGAGGAAGAAAAAAAAAAAAAACAGTTGCTCATTCCAGTGATACTAGGTAGGCCCTGGGGATACAGTGGTGAGCCAATATGCTTGATTTATTGAAGCTCACCACCTGGTGGAATCAAATATACCAATACAAATTTTGGAGAGTCTGGTTCTGCTCTCTTAATTACAAGTAAAAGCTATAATAGAACACTTTCCTCACCATTTTTCTTTCTCCTGCTTACTCTTTAGAAGGGTAAATAAATGAATAATGGACAAAATCCCATCAGTTTCTCAATCTTAGCAAATGGCTAAGGTGACTCTGCTTCTCACTCTCTTGCAATAACCTCAAACCTTGAAGTACTAGGTAATTCAAACATTGCTTCAGGAAAAATAAATTGTGTATACTCTTTAAATAAAAGAGTATAAATAAAATTAAGTGAAAGCAGAATAACAAGAAATAACTAAGTAATAATTCCTCTAAAGTTAAAAACTAAAAATTATTCTAGATAGTCAACTATAAAATGTTACAAAAAAAAAAAAATCCTGATATGGTCTAGCATTGAATTAAAAAACCCCAAACTTCATACAACTCTTACCTGCTTCAGCCTGAAGTTTTTTTAAGTTATATCCACCTGGTCCAACAAATTTTGCTCGTTTTGACAATGGAACCTGAACAGTTTCTGGAATATAATACAGACAAATATGTAAACAATTCAAATAGATTACATGAACCTAAAAACATGTCATGGTCACTTGAGTTTTTTTTTTTTTTTTTTTTAACCTAGACACATGTATTTTACTATAAAACAGAAAAGTAGATGATTAAAATTACTGAAAAGTGTTAAAGAATATTCCCTAAAATTTAAAGCATTTTAGCTACAAAAGTATTTAAAATATTTTTATTTTGTGTGTTGGGTAAAAACAGTTTAAAAACAGTAATATTCGTTCATATGTTAGTGTTTCTTACAATGATCACTAAAATTTTAATGTATTACCTACAATAGGTCCATTTTCTTTTCTAGATGCTCGAGGTTTTGAAATAGTTTTGTTCATGATCTGTAATATCTCCTTTTTTGCCACTAGAAGAGATAAAAACACAATAAAAGTTGTAACTACATAAATATGATCTGAAATAGCTGCACTCTTAGTTTTTATGATGTAAATAATTGAAGCTCTCCACATCCTAATTACCTTGAAAATTCACTCATATTCTTTTCTCCATAAATCCTATCTTAAAGAGAGTTACCTTATTTGCAATAATTGAAATTTCACTGGTAACCGACTTTGATGTTTATTCATGTGCCTCCAAAACTTAGTTCTTTGTTTTTTTTTTAAAATAGATATGGGGTCTGTGTTGCCCAGACTGGTCTTGAACTCCTGGGGCTCAAGCAGTCCTCCTGCCTTGACCTCCTAAAGTGCTAGGATGAGCCACCATGCCATGCCTGGCTACTTAGTACTTCCGTTTTTTGAGATAGTTTCCCTGTGTCACCCAGGCTGGAGTGCAGTGGCATGATCTCAGCTCACTGCAACCTCTGCCTCCTGGGCTCAAGTGATTCTCTGTCTCAGCTTCCTGAGTAGCTGGGATTATAGGCACGTGCCACAATGCCTGGTTAATTTTTGTATTTTTAGTAGAGACAGGGTTTCACCATGTTGGCTAGGCTGGTCTAGAACTCTTGACCTCAAGTGATCCACCCACCTTGGCCTCCCAAAGTGCTGGGATTACAGACGTCAGCCATCGCACCTGGCCAGTACTTCATCTGAGTTAAGTCATTTGAAATTCCACTTTTTAAAGCAATGTTTTATAATAAGCATAATGAGAACTATAGTTCCCATTAGCAAACTGGAACAGAATTAAAGGAGAATCAAATACACTGGCTCACCTGAAGCTTGTTGAATAGCCTCCATTGCAATTTTTACTGGTATTCCAGGTAATTTAATATCAGCCTAAGATAGAGAATTATATAAATATTGACTCATGGCATTATTTAAATGTTACAAAAATGAAACAAAATGAGTTTTAAAATACCTGTAATGCAGTTATTCCTTTATTAGTGCCAGCCATTTTGAAGTCCATGTCACCATTGTAATCTTCAATTCCCTTCAGGAATTAAAAAAGTTATGACGCAGTTTTAAACAAAACCAAAATCAACATATTTGCTATAGAAACATTTCAAAAAAAAAGTTTTAGAAATAAACCATATCCTCTAAGACAAAACACACAGCAATGTTTTTTACATTAACTATTGCTTCCAATTTGTGACTTTTTAAGCTACAATTATTTTCACCAGAAACATCATTTTTAGATCATTTCTTTGCCTCATTAATGCATATGGATAAATTTATGATCATCCTAAAGTGAGCCATTATGAAAACTTACACTGTACTACTGTAATACTTAAGTGTAAGTATTACTATTGTTTAAAGTAATCATTTTATTTATTTATTTAGAGACAGAGTCTTGCTCTCTTGCCTAGGCTGGAGTGTAGTGGCGCAGTATTGGCCCACTGTAACTTCTGCCTCCTGGGTTCAAGCAGTACTGCCTCAGCCTCTCGAGTAGCTGGGATTACACGCCCGGCTAATTTTTGTATTTTTAGTAGAGATGGGGTTTTGCCTCATTAGCCAGGCTGGTCTTGATCTCCTGACCCCAAGTGATCCATGCGCCTCAGCTTCCCAAAATGCTGGGATTACAGGTATAACCAACTGTGCCTCGTCTATTACTATTAATATAATATCTATTTTAAACTCACATCCTTTAAGAGCCAAGATGAACCTGCAGAGGAGGAAGAGAAGAACAAGTGCCTGCTCTTCAGATACTAGCTTTCTTCTAAGAATATGCTATGTCCAAAGTACATATAGTCTTCACCATTATTTGATTTGCTTTTATCTTTTAATTTATATTTATTCTTCATTAAATATTTAAAACCGGGAATATACTTGCCAGAATATCTGTCAGCAGACGATAATCATCTATTTCACCCTTCTCAGGATCGGTTTTGGTGACCAATCCTATTGCTACGCCTGCGACAGCAGATGAAATTGGAACCCCTATAATTGGGAAAAAGAACTTTTATGGGCAATATGTACATCAGCTTAAAACACATTATATCTATTAACTTTTTTTTTTTTTTGAGAGGGAGTCTCACTCTGTTGCCCAGGCTGGAGTGCAGTGGCATAATCTTGGCTCATTGTAGCCTCTGCCTCCTGGGTTCAAGAGATCCTCCCACCTCAGCCTCTTGAATAGCTGGGAATATAGGCACCTGCTACCATGCCTGGCTATTTTTTTTTGTACTTTTAGTAGAGAGGGGGGTTTCACCATGTTGGCCATGCTGGTCTTGAACTCCTGACCTCAGGTGATCCACTAGCTTTGGCCTCCGGAAGTGTTGGGATTACAGGCAAGAGCCACCGCGCCCAGCTGACATTTATTTTTAATGTAAGTGATACTGTTGTCTAAATTGACAATCACCAAAGCTGAGTTGGAAAAGTCTTAAGAGGTCATTTGACTACTTCATTTGTTTTCGAACATATAATGAAGTTCCCTAAACAATGTAAACAAGTACCATATCCAGCAAAAAACTCCTCTAATAATAGCAAACTTTGTAACTCTTAAATTATCCATTGCTTTGCTCTTTTGCTTCTGATGTCTTATTCTTTTTGTTGGAAAGTAAGCATCTATTTGGTAACTTCTTCCAGCCTGAACCCCTCAGTTTACCTCCCCATGGCAGCTACCATTAGTGTATCCTCCTAGAAAATTTCTGTGCACAAGCATAAATGTAAATATAATCTTTTGTTTTCTTTACTCATGGGAGCATACTGTATGCATTTACTGTTCTGCACCTTGCCTTTTTCCACTTCATAACATGTCTTGGATATTGACACATACCACCACACAAAGCTCTACTTTATTCCTTTGAATGGCAGCATAGTACTCCCTATATGTTTTTTAAGTCACACACAGAAAAGTGACTGCTGAGTCAAAATGCATGTGCATTTACATTTGTTACACTGTCAAATTGCCTTCTAAAGACAGAAGTTTAAACTTTTACTACTAGTATAAGAAGGTACATGCTATCCTATATTCTTGTTATTTCTTGTCAAATCTTTTGATTTTTCTCAATTTAAAAGGTAAAAAATGGTTGATTATTTTAAATCTGATCTGTTTTTTATGATTGAGGTTGAAAACTTTTTCATGTTCATAAACATATTAGTATGTCTTATTTTGAGAACTCCCTGTTCATGGCCTTCAACCATTTTTCTACTTGGTTGGCAGTCTTTTTATTATTGATTTTCTTTCAGTATGGATAGATCTTTATTAAAATATAAAGATAATATGTTTTATAACATATAAATATATTTTATTTCCTAGTTTGTTGACTTTGCTTATGGTGATTAGTTTTCCGTGTAGAATTTTTAGTTTACACAATCATGGTTCCTGGGTTTTGCTTAGCAGAGCTTTTCTTCTCCAGGATTTTGATAAAACTTAACCATCTTTCATTTGTTTAAAAATGTTTAAGTTTTGATCACTTGGAATTTACTTTGATAAAAAGGAGTATGGATTTCATTTCATTTTCTCTAAGCAATCTTATCTATACTCATGGTTTCAACCACTGTCTATAATGTTGATGACTTAAAAATCTATCCATTCTGTCCAGCTCTCTGTACCAAAGCCTGGACCTGTGTAAGTAAACTGCTTGTCAGACATCTCTGGCTTCATGTCCCCAAAGCACCTTAAAAATGTATTCCAAATTGAGCCAGACCTGGTGGCTCATGCCTGTAATTCCAATGCTTTGGCAGGCAGAGATGGGAGGATCTAACTCAGGAATTTGAGACCAGCCTGGGCAACATAGTGAGACTTTATCTCTATAAATAATAATAATGGTAACAAAAGAAATATACATATGTTCAAAATTGAACCACTTTCAAAAAATCCTTTTCCTCCTGCATTCTTTGGTTGAAACCAACTAAGACACACATGCCAGAATCATCATTTCTTTCCTCATTTCTATATCCCATCAAATCACAAAGATCTGTTTATTTTTTAGAAAGCTATCCTTTACCCTCAATATTAAAATACCTATTGCTACTTTTTAGTCTGAGTCCACATCATTTCCTGCCCTAGTAACAATCTCCCTGTATGGCTTCCCAGATTTTAGTTTCTCTTTACTTCTTAGTCTCTCTCATCTCATTCCCCAGGGCCATTCATCACTTAAGCTGGGAAAAACTGTTTGGAAAAAACAAAAGCAGATTCAAATTATGCCACTGTTTTTCATAAAATCCTCCAAGTTCTCCATTGCCTGCTTTCAGGAAATTTTTTTTTTTTTTTTTTTTTTTTTGAGACGGAGTTTCGCTCTTGTTGCCCAGGCTGGAGTGCAATGGCGCGATCTCGGCTCACCGCAACCTCCGCCTCCTGGGCTCAGGCAATTCTCCTGCCTCAGCCTCCTGAGTAGCTGGGATTACAGGCACGCACCACCATGCCCAGCTAATTTTTTGCATTTTTAGTAGAGACGGGGTTTCACCGTGCTGACCAGGATGGTCTCGATCTCTTGACCTCGTGATCCACCCGCCTCGGCCTCCCAAAGTGCTGGGATTACAGGCTGGAGCCACCGCGCCCGGCCTAGGAAATTTTTATACATATTCTGTGGTCAAATAAATTTGGAAAAATATTACATGTCCTATTCCTAGAGAGTCAGTATTCCAATTAGCTTATTAAAGTCTATTTAACCCACATTAAATAAACCTGCTTACCCCTGCTGAAACTTACTTTAAAACAAAACAAATTTTTTCATGGCATACAATAATCAATGTCCTGTGGAACACTATTCCATGGAATACTGAATTGGAAAAATTCTGGCTTTAAGTCCAAACTCCTTAGCATAACAAAGACCTTCAACATCTGGTTCTAGTTTATTACCTTAACACCTCTTCGAGTATATTCCTGAAACATACTACACTGTTTCATAACTTCTTAACTTAGCACATGCTGGTCATTTCATGTGAAATATAGGCCTTGCTCCTAATATGCCTAGTCAACAACTACTCGGCCTTTAAAACCAGATGAAATGTAGTCTCTCTCAGCCAGTTATGCTCAGCCTAGTTCATCAATCACCTTGTATTCCTCATACATATTTGTATTACTACTTCTTTGATCTATTGGTATCTTTTTGCTTGTTTTCAAATCTTTAAGCTTTTTCAAAAACTGGGTACAATTTGTATCCCTGGAGCATAGCACAGTGCCTCACTTAGGGCAGGGAAAGCACTCATTTTTGAATTGAACTGTATACGTGTATTGGACCATCCCACAGGATTTGACATTCATTCTTATAAAATTTAACTTTTTTTGGGTTTTTGACTCTTCAAATTTAAACTAATAAGCTCCATTTTTTTTTTATCCTGTTCAATTTTGTCATTTAACAAATCAGTCACTCATTCCTTTTAATCAATATCCTTTTTATTGGCAGGCCAGTGTTCTCAGTCTAGTCAACACTGAAAGAGACAGGGCTGAAATAAGCATCCTCAAGTCTTCAACTTGAGATCCTCCTCTGACCTGCTGATCAGATTAAACGGTCCCTTTGCTCATCCCTTAATCAGTATGATTGGTGCACCTCTTATCTAGTCTAAATTTCTGCATCATTTACACAAGATATCATAAACGTACAGCTGATTTATACATACCTCGCACCAACAGTAACACCTTCTACTGCAAGTCTAGTAATTTCTTCAAAAACAGAAAGTGAATTAACAATGGCATGACTTATTTTGGAGGAGTGTCTTCTGGCTTCTCTCTCTAGTCCCTTTTCTTTGAGACAGAGTCACTGTTTCCTAGGCTGGGGTGCAGTGACGCGATCTCTGCTTACCGCAACCTCTGCCTCGTGGGTTCAAGCGATTCTCCTGCCTCAGCCTCCTGAGTACCTGGGATTACAGGTGCCCACCACCATGCCCAGCTAATTTTTGTATTTTTAGTAGAGAGAGGGTTTCAGTATGTTGGCCAGGCAGGTCTCAAACTCCTGACCTCAAGTGATCGACCTGCCTCGGCCTCCCAAAGTGCTGGGATTACAGGTGTGAGCCACCAGTGTGGTGGCCCCTTTCCTTTCTAAGCTACTTATAAACCATTATTTTTATAAGTTCTTAAAAGTCTTGTTGAGGGTCACTGTCAAGTTCACTGGGTTATACTTTATAGAAAACACTTTTCTTCTCTTCCAATAATAAGACTATTTTCCATCCTTAAGACTATTTACCAGTCTCCATGATTTCTCAATGACTGCCATTATATTTCAGTAATCTAATCCTGAAGTTCTCATTATAATCAAGGATGAGTTTTTGTCTAGACTAAAAGATATGAATTCATTAAAAAATGGCAAGTAAAGACTCTCCTATGATGTCGTCTTTTATTTTTCAGTTCACCTTTTTCAGGATTTGTTCAGTGTTTTCCAATATGAGATTTAGAAGGCTGAGAAACAGAAGCCATGAAGACAAGGGCTGTTTTGTTCATCACCATGTCCTAAGAACTTAGATCACTGTTTGGCACATAGGTGCCACAGAGTAAAGATTTGTAGAGTGAAAGAATTAAGATGAAAATAGTAGCAGCAGTATTTTACCAGCTGCCTCAAATATCAGATTATGTTTTCCTCCGTTGAATAAATTAGAAAAGTACCCTTAACATTTTTTGGTTTGGCCTGTTTTTAAATTTTTCTAGATAATATTATTACATATTCACACCATTTTTTTTTTTAAATAGAGATGGGGTTTCACTATGTTGGCAGGATGGTCTCGATCTCCTGATCTTGTGATCCGCCCACCTCGGCCTCCCAAAGTGCTGGTATTACAGGCGTGAGCCACCTTGCCCAGCCTCACACCATTTTTTATTTCATCCTTTGTTATGGTCCTCCTTTCTGTCTTTCATGCTAGTACTGTAAATGTGTGAACTTATCAGAGAACTCCTTCTGTGGCCTTGTTAGTATCTTTACTAACAAGTAAAGACACTACTAACTTCTTGAATAGCATCAGTGGTGCTATTCAAGAAGAAAGAGATTCCTTCTGTCTTTCTTCTTCAATAGCACCACTGATGCTATTCAAGAAGAGAGAGAAGGAATCTCTTTCTTCTTGAATAGCACCACTGATGATGGTTTGGCACAAATTGGTTTTAAGAATCCCCTAGCATGATAATGCTTTCCTGTTTGCTGTTTTAGACCCGGGGATTATAATGAACCATTTGTAGTCTGCCTTCCTAAAATTCTGTGTACATGCCTGAGTGGCACTGTTCTCTTGGCTTGTATAAATCAACTGAAAGATTACAGTTGCTTTCTCTTATGAGTCCTAATAGTACTTACTAATCAAAACTTCCTTGGTGATTGGAATCAATTCTGGAGCTCTCTACCTTTTGGAAGGAAATAAAGTTTACTAGGTCACCAATGCAAATAAAAGTTTTTCAGTGTACTGCTTTTAGCTAAAAATAAGAATTCCAGCAGTTATCTGGCTATCCGAAGCTCTACTTTTCAACCATTTTGTCTCTGGCTTGATTTGGTCAACTGTAATCTGACTTTGAGTTTTACTAAAATCCAATTTAAAAGAAATCTTATGTTTTATAGTAACAGGTGTATATAAAAGGCTAGCATTTTTTTTTTTTTTTTAATTTTTTTGGTAGAGATGGGGTTTTGCTATGCTGCTCAGGCTTGTCTTGAACTCTTGGCCTCAAGTGAGCCTCTCTTGCCTTGTCCTCCCAAAGTGCTGGGACTATAGGCATGAGCAATATTAGCAGTTTTGAGACATAATTCTTTTACCTGAGTCCATTAATGCTAAACTTCCACCACATGCAGATGCCATAGAAGATGACCCTACAGAAAGAAAAACAGCTGCTTTATACTACACTGATTTTTTAAATGTAGAAAATGTTATCGGTTATTTCCTTATAAATATTCAATTACAATACAAATATTCAATAGTCTCTCCTTCCTTCTTATTAAAAGCACCTAAGGCAAACTCTCCTAAGCTATAAACTATGGGGCTGCATGGTCCAATATGGTAGCCGGGCTATTAGCCACAAGTGGCTACTTAAAGTTAAATCAATTAAAATAAATTCAATTCCTCAACTGGACAGCGCAGATAAAGAGGATTTCTATCATCACAAGAAGTCCCCCCCCCCCCAAGATAGAGTCTCGCTTTGTCACCCAGGCTGGAGTACAGTGGCACAATCTTTGCTCACTGCAACCTCCATCTCCCGAGTTCAAGTGATTCTCCTGCCTTGGCTTCCTGAGTAGCTGGGACTACAGGCGCCCACCGCCATGCCCAGCTATTTTTTTGTATTTTTAGTAGAGACAGGGTTTCACCATGTTAACCAGGATGGTCTCAATCTCCTGACTTCATGATCCACCTGCCTTGGCCTCCCAAAGTGCTGGGATTATAGGCATGAACCACTGCACCCAACCCATCACGAAAAGTTCTATTGCACAGTATTGCTACAAAGATTCTTTTTTTTGAGATGGAGTTTCGCTCTGTCACTCAGGCTGGAGTGCAGTGGCACAATCTCGGCTCACTGTAACCTCCATCTCCTGGGTCCAAGTGATTCTTCTGCTTCAGCCTCCTGAGTAGCCAGGACTACAGGCATGTGCCACCACGCCCAGCTAAATTTTTTGTATTTTCAGTAGAGACGGGGGTTTCACCATTTTAGCCAGGATGGTCTGTATCTCCTGACCTCATGATCCACCTGCCTTGGCCTCCCAAAGTGCTAGGATTACAGGCATGAGCCACCACGCCTGGCCTGAAATTTTTATTTAAATGTGACCTTTTAGCCTAGAATCCATCTGTGATGTTCACTTATTATTCATGTGGATATGTGACAGGTATCCCCTGCCTAATGATCACTTTATTTTGGCCCTTCCTCTTCTGCTAACCTTGTTCTGTAGTTAGAAATAAAATAAACAAGCCAAATTGGATCTATTATAATAGATAAAGAAAAATATTTGTAAATTTTTAAATTTATTTGTAAAAATAAATAAGCCAAACTGGATCTATTATAACAGATAAAGAAAAATATTTGTTTTATATTGCTTTCAAAGCAACTCGTTAGCTAACAACAGAGTTTCAGACAAGTATATGATTAATTCAATACATTTTTCTCTTGCAATAAACTTGGGTTCTGTAGTAATAAACATAATGTAACATTACATTTGAAAACTTAATAACAGAATAGGGAATTTGGTCTTTACTATGAAAGAAGTATTTCAGTACCATACCATTTGACTCTAGGACTTCAGATGTAACTCTTATGGTGAAAGGAAAATCTTTGGGAATAACAGGATACAAAGCTTTCTCAGCAAGAGCACCTAAAATAGAAAAGGAGACAATAAGTAAAAAATGTACTAAGTCGGGTGGTGGGGCAAAAAAAAAAAAAAAGTACTAAGTCTCTGTAAGAATACCATGTAAGTTTACAGATCTGTACTTACCATGCCCAAGTTCTCTTCTATTTAAACCGGTGACTTTGCCAATTTCATTAGTTGCATAAGGAGGAAACTTAAAAAAGAAACACACACACATATACAATTGACATGAAAAGATGTCCAAGTTATATTACCAAAATATTAAAAAAAACTTCTAGAACAGTGGAGTCTCATTAAAAAAAAAATACATTAATAAATACACAGAAAATATATGATGTAAATTTAACATACATTACCAAATTGCTATAAGTAGCTATTTCCAGTGTGTAAATAGCTTGGGATGTGGGAACTGGAAGCGTATGCGGATTTACACCATAAATTTCCATAATGTTTAAATTATTAACAATAACAAAATGTTATATTTTTGAAAGAAAACATATACATATTTTAAAAGTATACACTGAAAATTCACAGCTTTTTCCATAGCAAAGCCAACACTGATTTCACTAAATTGAAACTTAATTTACACTGATACTTTTTAGAATTGTCTCTCTCCACCACCTCTTTCAGATATGAAACAAAACACATGAATGGGAAGTTGCATATTTTGAAGTATTTTTCAAGCAAAACATAATGCCAAAAATGTATGGAGGAAACAGCTCTTTTCTATAAGAGTTTTATTTTAGCCAGTGGTTGCAAACTGTTTCATTTGATGGATATGTTACCTTGAAGGAATGTGAATTCATTGTGATCATTTGAGAACTGGAAGATTTTCCATAAAAATCTGTAATTTCAGGCTGGACGCAATGGTGTACGTCTGCAATCCCAGCACTTTGGGAGGTTGAGGCAGGCGGATCACTTGAGCTCAGGAGTTTGAGACTAGCCTGGCCAACATGGTGAGACTCTGTATCTACTAATACAAAAATCAGCCAGGCGTAGTGATACACGCCTATAATCCCAGCTACTTATGATGATGAGGCACAAGAATTGCTTTAACCCAGGAGGTGGAGGCTGTAGTAAGCTGAGATTGTGCCACTGCATTCCAGCCTGTGCAACAGAGTGAGATCTTGTTTCAAAAAAAAAAAAAAATCCCCCCCAAAATCTGTAATTCCAGTTTAACAAGAAAATTTTTAAAAGCAGTGATGGAGCAGGAATCTGATTAAACCTCTGAATCTAGCAGTCAATTTGCAGGAAATAGAGGGCAAAGGAACATGCTGAATTACACCATGAGTGTGCCATCAGCAATACCCAGACTGTGGGATAGGAGACTATATGTCAAATGCTTATGGGGCTTCAACAATAAGACTGTTAAAAAAAGGATGTAATGGAGGAGAAATGTATAGATTTAAAAAGACTTAAATATCAGGCTGGGCATGGTGGCTCACATCTACATGTAATCACAGCCCTTTGGGAGGCTGAGGCAGGAAGGCTGCTTGAGTCCATGAGTTTGAGAACAGCCTGGGCAACGTGGCAAAACCCCACCTCTACAAAAATATAAAAATTATCAGGGTGTGGTGGTGCCCGTAGTCCCAGCTACTTGGTGGGGAGGGGGGGAGGTGGGGCAGGTAAGGCAGGAGGATCATTTAAACCTGGGAGGTGGAAACTGCAGTGAGCCAAGATGGTGCCACTGCACTCTGGCCTGAACGACACAGTGAGACTCTGTCTCAAATAAACAAACTAAAACAAAAAAGGATATACCAAACTTTTAAAATAAAAAACCCCACTAAACTATAGTATCTAGAAATGGAGCCAGGCAATCCTAGACGATTACTGTAAAACTTAGGAGAGTAGTTACTTTTAGGAGAGGAGGGTATTGACATTGGGATGAAGAACATGAAGGTGCTTTTGAGGTGGCTGGCAATGTCAAATTTCCTGACTTGGGTGGTGGTTAAAAGGGTATTTGCCTTATAAAAACTTATTAAGCCATACTTCGTTTTATATGGTTTTCAGTACCTGTGCTTTATATTATAATAAAGGGATATAGCTAGAGCTCCATTTTATACAGCTGCCCTTTTTAGACTGCCATGTGCTCTCCAGCTCATGACAAAGAACCTGACTTACTCAATTACAATTCCTCTCTGGCTTCTGTAGCACCAGGGTGTATCTAGAGAACAGGATATTTATAAGGGATTCAAGACCTGTGTGACTCTTGATGTTTATGGATATTCTGTAGCATGTACTTTCCACAAAAAATGTTCTCTATTGATTATAACAGATTCAACAAAAGTGAAATGCTGAGACTCTGGGCAGCCAACAAGGGTTCTACAAAAGCGAAATGACTTGCTACTCTCATGTTGTATTCTTTTTACTTTTATTTTTTGAGACAGGGTCTTACTCTGCTGCCCAGGCTGAAGTGCAGCGGGGCAATCATGGCTTGCTGCAGTCTCAACCTTTTGGGCTCTAGCGATCCTCCCTCAGCCTCCCGAACAGCTGGGACTATAGGCATGTGCCACCATGTTTGGCTAATTTTTAGATTTTTTTTGTAGAGACAGGATCTCACTATGTTGCGCAAGCTGGTCTTGAATTTCTGAGCTCAGCTATTCTCCTGCCTCGGCCTCCTGAAGGACTGGGATTACAGGTATGAGCCACCATGCCCTGGTCTCCATGTATATTCTTCAAATAACAAAATTAAAAGTACTTTATACTAGGTCTGGTCCCTTAGGATTTGTTGTGAATGAAGTATCTAAAGTAGTACTAAAGTATTCTCTAAAATACTACTTATGTCTCTCTCTACTTATCATTCTACACAAAGCTTGCCATGCCTTCTGTAAACAATAAAATAGTAGCCCCCAAACTGACCTTAATAGATATATGATGAAACTAGCAAAGTAAAATATGATTATTGGTAAAATCCAGATAGTGGGTATATGAATAGTCACTGAAAAGTTCTTTTAACTTTACTGTATCCTGGAAGTTTTAAAAAATAAAATGTTCCAGCCTGAGCAACATTCTCTAGAAAAAAATAGAAAAATTAGCCAATCGTGGTTGCACATGCCTGTAATCCCAGCTACTCAGGAGGCTGAGGCGGGAGGATATCTTGAGTCTGGGAGGCAGAGGTTGCAGTGAGCTAAGACTGCACCACTCACTCCAGCCTGGGCAACGGAGTGGGACCTTGTCTCACAAATATAAATAAAATAAAATTTTGGGGAAAAAAATTCACCTTACCTCATAATGCAGCATGAAATTTTTATCTTTTATCCCACTACAAATAAAAGGCATCATATTAAAAACATCATAGGAAAAAAATGTATTTGTTTCAATAAACAACTAAAACATATTTAAGGGGATTTTACAAAACATCTAGGTATTAATAAATATTAGACTGAAACTGAAAACCACAGAATTAATTAGAAGGATGATTGTGAGATGATATTTTCTCCTGGAGCTTATGAATAAATTGTACAGATTTAGAAAGCCAGTTTTGCTTTAAATGTAAGTCCTTAAATCCAAATTTTAATACTAAGACAAGACAATAGATGTATTTTTAAGCATTAACAACTACTGAGAGAATCCTAAATGCTGTAACCACATTAGTTAAATCTCAGAGCTATAATGCTTCTCCCAGTCAACATGGGAAATGAAGAAAAAGTCCTGGGATGGGGCAGAATCTGCATGATCATAAACTGTAACTATGAAAAAGAAATCTAAAAATCAAACTCCTTCAAAGGACTAAAGGAATCACAGAATAGGGCAGCTAGAGAGCATTATAGTGGGTCATTGGCCCTGTTCATTTTTCAAGAAATAGAAACCAAAGGCCAGTGTGGCTGAGTGACGACATGAACCCCTTTATTTACGTAGGTTATAGACCTAACACTAGAGTATGTGGAGGTTCCCTGACCAAGCCCAGTGCTCTGCATTCCACCTTCACACACACAGCTGCACTGTCGATTTTATCAGATACATGGAAATCAATTACAGGGGCTATCCCGAAGATACTGGGAATTATCCTCATCAGTTGGGCAGCAGGAAAAGGGAGGCTGAGCCCTGTGGTCTTCTGAGACCCTTAACTAGGGAACTGAAAGTAGCCCTACTAGGCACTGACGAAAATAAAGAACTGGCTATGAATGTCAAGACTCTGATGCAATAATGCTGGTGAGGACTGCTATACAGATTCTTATCATCAAAATTCATCAGCATGATTTTATTGTTGACTTTTTAGGAGCAGAGGAGGACAGCCAAGTATTTCTGAACACAAAATCACAATGTATGTGGCTTGGGATTAGACAAGGCTTTTCATTAACAGCCTCCAGCTTAGTTTCAGCAATGGGAACTTTTGTCTATTTATTTGCCCTCTTGTTTCAAATAGAAAAACCAATCCATTCAAGATTACCAAGGAAGTCTGTCCTAAGAAATCATTCTAGAGACACAGAACAAACTAAATGTACTCACAGTAAAGAATTAATTGATGTACCAATATTTGTTGTAAACTAGTGATTTAGAAGACAATATAGCACACACACACACAATCCTTTGAAATCATGATGTAAACAGAAAAATGAAGTACAAAAATACAAGTTAAAGTAACAATGACTAATAATATATCACATAAGCTTTAATTATATACTAGAACATCATAAAATATAACAAACATCATAATAACATAACTTACTTTATAGCTGTTATAACTTGATCCGACTTAATACTGGATTCTAATGAATCAAATGTAACAGTACAAAGCACCTAAAAAAGAAAAAAGAATTTCTCAGGCTTTAATATACTAACCACAAAGATGAAAACTAAAAATATTTGAAGAATCCAACTAACTCTTAAAAAAATGGGCTAAGTACATCCTACACAAAGCTTGCCATCCTACTAAGTGCAGTAAATGCTTATTTATCCTATAAATATTCAAACTATGTGTAAACCTCAATAATCCAAAGTTCTAACATCACACAGACTACAAATGTAAAGCACTGCACTAGGAGTGCTGGGGAAGGAAGTCAGGAAGAAAAAGCAGTATTTTTAAGAACTATGTATGAGAGTCCGCTGAGAAAGCCTCAATACAGGTTCAGCCAATAAAACCGCCTGCTTAAAATTTTAAAAAATCAGGCCAGGTGTGGTGGCTCATGCCTGTAGTCCCAGCACTTTGGGAGGCCAAGTCAGGCAGATCACAAGGTCAGGAGTTCAAGACCAGCCTCACCAATATGGTGAAACAGTCTCTACTAAAAATACAAAAATTAGCCAGGCATGGTGGTGTGCACCTGTAGTGCCAGATACTCAGGAGGCTGAGGCAGAATCGTTTGAACCTGGGAGGTGGAGGTTGCATTGAGCCAAGATTGCACTACTGCACTCCAGCCTGGGCAACAGAGTGAGATTCTGTCTCAAGAAAAAAAAAAAATCAGTCTTCTTTGTAGAGACATAATATAATCCAGAGACTCTACAATGTATCATTTACAACATCCAGTATACAACCTACAACGAAACAGGAAACAGGGAACATTCTCAAGAAAAAAGACAAGGAATGGAGGCTGATTCTGAGTTGATTAAGAAGGTGGATTCAGCAGGCAAAAGATTTTTAACAGCTATTATAATTATACTCAAAGGACATTAAAAAAAATGTATGTGGAAATAATCTCACAGTAGTGTAACAAAAAAAAAAAAAAGGAAAAAAGGACATAAAAAAGAATAAGTGAAAATTCTAAAACTGAAAACTTTAATATCTCATAATGGAAAGGAGATAGCATGAGTCAGTGAGCATGAAGATGAATGAACAGAAATTGTCCAATTTGCAGAAGACAGGGAAAAGAGAACATAGCTGCAGTCACCTGTAGGACTGTATCAAAAGGATAACATATGCGCAGTTACAATTCCAGAAGGCAAGAAGAGAGAATGAGGCAGGAAAAAATATTTGAAGAAAGAATAGATAAAAATTCTGAAGTTTGGTGAAAGACATGAATGGACAGATTTAGGCTCAGCACACTTTTAGCAGAATAAATTCAAAGGAAACCACACCTTTCAATTATAATGCTGAAAACCAAAGATAAGGAGCAAATCTTGAAAGCACCTACATGAAAACAATCATAATATATAAGAAACAATGATTTGATTGCATCCTTTTCATCAGAAAAACATGGAGAACAAAAAACACTGAAACATCTTCAGGTGCTAAAAGAAAAAAGAATCACCCCAGAATTCTGTACACAGCATAAAGATTCTTTGTACACTGAACATGCAGTATCTGGTTAAAAAAAAAAAAAAAAAAAAAGATTCTTTGTACATAAAGGCAAAATAAAGACATTTCTGAAAAACAAAAAATTAGAATTTGTTATTAGAAAACTCATAGGATGATATTAAAGGAAGTCTTGTCAGAATGACGAGAAATGATACTAGATCCATACCTGGATCTTCAGGAAGGAATAAAAGCACCAGAAATGGTAAATATGTGGGCCAATATAAAAGCCTATCTTTTTCTTATCACTTCCTTAAAATATATGATTGTATAAAAGTTATGACATTGCCTTGCGGGGGTTTATGACACATGTAGTTGTAATACATAATAAGACAACTGCAATATAAAGGATAGAAGCGATGGGAAATGCACCTAAATGGTTGCAAAGTTTCTTCATTTTATGGTAAGTGGTACAAAATTAATTCTAAAAAGACTGTGAGGGCCTGGCATGGTGGCTTATGCCTATAATACCAGCACTTTGGGATGCTGAGGCCTCCGGAGGACTACTGGAGCCCAGGAGTTCAAAACTAGCTTGGGCAACATGGTGAAACCCTGTCTCTACAAAAATTTTAAAATATATATAAATAAAATGACTTGTGAGAAGTTATGTATGTATACTGTAATTTCTATAGTAATCACTGAAAAATAATTCAGAGGTACAACTGAAAAATAAATAGGCAAATTAAAATAGTTATAAAAATATTCAATTAATTCAAAAAGAAGGCTGAAAGTAAAAAATAGAGAAACAAAAAACAACAGCAAAAGAAAGATAAATAATAAAATGACAGTAAATTCAATTATATCAGTGGTTAAATTTAACATGAATGGACTAAGTACTACAGTTACAAAGGCAGAGATTATCACAATGGATGACAAAAGTATGCAGAATATCTTAATGAAGGCATTTTAAAAACTTACTAAAGAGCATAAAAGAAAACCTTAATCAAAAGTGAGACAGACTATATTCACTCTAAAGACTATAACTTAAATTATAAAAGTATCATTCTTCTCTCAGATAAATATATAAATTTAGTGCAATTACTATTGTAAATCCTAAAGGGATATTTTGAGAACTTGATATGAACTAAATTTCAAATAAAGGAACAAATGGGGCCAGGCGCGGTGACGCACACCTGTAATCCCAGCACTTTGGGAGGCCGAGGTGGGTGGATCACGAGGTCAGGAGTTAGAGACCAGCCTGGCCAATATGGAGAAAACCCATCGCTACTAAAAATACAAAAATTAGCTGGGCATAGTGGCGTGTGCCTGTAATCCCAGCTTCTCGGGAAGCTGAGGCAGAACTGCTTGAAACCGAAAGGCGGAGGTTGCAGTGAGCTGAGATTGTGCCATTGCACTTCAGCCGGGGCGAAAGAGTGAAATTCCGTCTCAGAAAAAAAAAAAGAAAAAATAAAAAAAGGAACAAATGTACCTATATTTTAAAACAATTTTGAGGGTAAGAGAAAACAGGGAAGACGATTTGTTTCTCAGATGTTAAAATGTACCCCAAAATCATGATAATTAAAACAGTTTGGCAGTGGCTCCAAAAATTCACATAACAATGAAAAAACATATAGTTTAACAACGTTATTTATAAATTTTGACGATCATAAGGTGACATCACAAGTCACTGAGAAAAAGTATTAGTAAATAATGTAAAATTGGTTCACTATGGAGGTTTTCTTTCATACAACATGTAGGAATAAATTCAAAGATCAATTAATGGTCTAAATTTGACAGCTAAAACTAGAAAGCTAATAGAAAAAGTAGGTGGGTAACTTCGTAACTTTGAGGTACAGAAGAATTTCTTAAATAAAACTTCAAAAATACGAACCTCAAAAGTGAAAAGGTAAACTATATCAGAACTAAAGATTTCAGATTTACTCTAAACACAGTAGGCTACTGCAGGCAAAGTTAAAAGGCAATCAACAAAGAAGGAAACATATATATATAAAGTTTGTTACCAAAAAGAATATTTAAAACACTTATAAGAAATTACTGCAAAATAGCTACAATACAGTAAACCATATTAAAGAAAGAAAAACTGGCCAAAGGATATGGACAGAAAATTCATAAAAAAGCAAAGTTGAGGCAGGGCCACCATACTGCACAGCTCTAGGGATCAACATCCATGTGAAAATAATGCCCTGGTGGTGTGCAGTTTCCCAGGGCATGGTTTATGCAGTGACCATGTTGACTGGCTGTTATATAAATAATGCTCAGTAATCAGGAAAATATAAATTAAATCAACAAGATACTACTTGGTACCTATCAGATTGACAGAATTAAAGAAACAAATAAGAAAGAGGTATAAAGCATAATATGGTATATAGGACAATGAATACAGATGTAGGGAAGTGTTAATACATGAACAGAAGGAGAACCAGAAGGCTACATGTTAAATACAAAAAAGTGGGTGCCTATGTAAAGAAAAAGAACAGAACTGTGGCACAGGCTAAATGGAGAAAATAAATGAGGGCCCTGAATAGGTCAACTGACAATATGTCAGCTGGGTGTGGTGGCTCAGGCTTGTAATCCCAGAACTTTGGTAGGTCAAGGCAGGAGGATCATGACGTCAGGAGTTCAAGACGAGCATGACCAACATGGTGAAACCCTATCTCTACTAAAAATACAAAAAAATTAGCTGGGTGTGGTGACGTGTGCCTGTAATCCCAGCTAGTCAGTAGGCTGAGGCAGAATTGCTGGAACCCAGGAGGCAGAGGCTGCGGTGAGCTGAGATCATGCCACTGCACTACAGCCTGGGCAACAGAGTGAGACTCCACCTCAAAAAAAAAAAAAAAAAAAAAAAAAAACCCAAAAAAACAATATGCCATAAACTGGAGCCTGAGTTATCAATTTTGTATATCCAATATCAAAAGAAAGATACAACAGAAATACCAGATAATTCTAGAAAATGCAAACTAATTTATAGCAGCAAAAGCAGATCAGCAGTCACTTGAGGAGGTGGGGGCAGGAAGAAGGAATTACAAAAAGGCATAAGGAAACTCTTGGGGGTAACAGATATGTTCATTATCTTTTTCATTTTTAAATTTTTTAAGAGACAGGGTCTTGCTCGGTAGCCCAGGCTAGAGTGCAATGGCACGACCACAGATCAGTGCAACCTCAAACTCTTGGCCTCAGGCAATCCTCACTCCTGGGCCTCAGCAACCATGCCTGGCCTGTTCATTATCTTTACTGGTTTCTCAGTTGTATATATGAAAAGTTACCAAATCATACACTCTAAACAGCATAGTTTATTGAATAGCAAGTATACCTAAAACAAAACAAAACAAAAAACCTATTAAAATTATATAAAATACACCAGAGGCCAGGTGCGGTGGCTTATGCCTGTAATCCCAGCACACTGGATTGTTTGAGGCCAAGAGTGTGAGACCAGCTTTGGCAACATAGTACGACCTTGTCTACAAAAAAAAATTTTAAATTAGCCAGGCATGGTAACATGCCTGTAGTCCCAGCTACTCAGGAAGCTGAGGTGGGAGGATTGCCTGAGTCCAGGAGTTTGAAGTTTCAATAAGCTATGATTGTGTCACTGCACTGCAGCCTGAGTGACAAAGTAAGACCCTGTCTCAAACAAAACAAACAAAAAAGAACACACATTAATCTAACTAAATTATACTATATGACAAAACCTATAGCATCTACTAATGTATTTCTATTAAATCTAATTAAACAATCTTAATTTAGCAAATAATTAGAGCTTTTTATATAAATTACCTGTGTTTGTCCTCTTTGAAATAGTGCTGATCCATGAAGGGTTTTAAACGTATCTACCTCACAACTTATATTCCTAAGTGAAGTCAAATCCCGACCATCGCACCTGTAGTGATAGAAGAAATAAGTACTTGATGTCATGCTACAAATCAGAAAAATCACCTGTCTTTATCTCTGCCAGGATGTTCTCAACCTCAGTTGCGTATCACAATCATCTATGGAACTTAATAATACAGATACTTGAGCACTATCCTGATTCATTGAATCAGAATGTCTGCAGTTGAACTTATATACCTGTGTTGTTAAAGAGCTCCACAGGTAATCCTGAAATACAGTCAGCACTGGCAAGCACTCACTGCTTTACACACAAGGCCCAAGACAGATGGTCATATAGCCATATACTCTTTCTTCAATAGGTGCCCATTTATATAGCAAATATTATAATTCTTTACTGTTCAACTGAAAGAAAATAAACTTTCTTTGATGAAGTTTCCATTTTCAAGGCAACTTGCAGAGACAGTACATGCTTCAATTTCATCAAAAAAGGGTACGTTTACCTTTTGTATTCATTCAAAATAATACTTCTAAAAACCTCCTTTGCAACAACATTGAAGGATTCTATTATTTCAAATGGATCGGCCTCTGGAAATGTTTCTATAGAAAAGAAAAAACAAAATAAAGATTTTTACTTATAAGGAGACAAGATTTCTCTAAAGTCCATAGCATAAAATCAATTAACTACAGGAATCAACCAAGGGACATAACTCTGAACATTTAGTCCTCAGGCAAACAAAGTAGATAAATAAAATGTTCTCAAGCAACTGTGACACATCAAGTACCAAGTACCACAACTGTGTTGTTACTGTGAACTTAGTTTGCTTTAAAATCAGTTCCCTTTTCTTTTTTTTTTTGAGACAAAGTCTCACTCTGTCGCCCAGGCCGGAGTGCAGTGGTGTGATCTTGGCTCACTGCAACCTCACCTCCTGGGTTCAAGCAATTCTCCTGCCTCAGCCTCCCGAGTAGCTGGGACTACAGGCGTGTGCCACCATGTCCGGCTAATTTTTTGTATTTTAGTGAAGACAGGTTTCACCATGTTGCCAAGGCAGGTCTTGAACTCCTGAGGTCAGGGAATCCGCCCACCTCGGCCTCCCAAAGTGCTAGGATTACAGGCATGAACCACCGTACCCAGTCCATCAGTTCCCTTTCCTATTATGTTACCAGAAGAATCCAGCCACTCTTTATGGAAAGGTCTGACAGGTTTTTCTTTTTTGAGATGGAGTTTCGCTCTTGTTGCCCAGGCTAGAGTGCAATGGAGCGATCTGAGCTCACGGCAACCTCTGCCTCCCTGGTTCAAGCGATTCTCCTGCCTCAGCCTCCCTAGCAGCTGGGATTACGGGTATGTGCTACCATGCCCGGCTAATTTTGTATTTTTAGTAGAGATGGGGCTTCTCCATATTGGTCAAGTGGTTTTGAACTCCTGACCTCAGGTGAGCTACCCGCCTCAGCCTCCCAAGTTGCTGGGATTATAGGTGTGAGCCACTGCGCCCAGCCTAATGGACAGTTTTAAGAGTAGTCACCCTCACTCTTTCTCCTTTATCTAAATCTGCAAATTGGGGAACAATTTTAAAAATATGTTATGAATCCCTACAAATTGTTTTCTATCTAATATTTGTCAAGTGCCTTCATGAGCCAGGCATTTTATTGGTTTTTAAATACTTTTAACTTTCATAACAACTTATGAAACAAATTTTATTATTCTCATTGTGCAGAAGAAAAAACTGAGGCTTTAAGGGGTGGAGTATCGTATAGGAGATAACCAGTGAATTAAAAAAATAAAAAAAGAGGCGGAGTAAACTGCCTGAGACCACACAGCTAGTAACTGATACAGCTGTGACCTGAATACAGATCTGTCAGCCTCAAAGGCTTATGGTTTTATTTTATTTTTAGCTTATGGCTTAGATGTTAAGCTATTTTTTCCTATCAGTTAATTTATGCCAAGTTTTAAGTACTGTTCTCTCATGTGTATGGTTTATTTTTTTGAGACAGAGTCTCACTCTGTTGCCCAGGCTGCAGTGCAGTGGTGCGATCTTGGCTCACTGCAACCTCCGTCTCCTGGGTTCAAGCAATTCTCCTGCCTCAGCCTCCTGAGTAGCTGGGACTACAGGCGCACACCACCACACCCTGCTAATTTTTGTATTTTTAGTAGAGATGGGGTTTCACCATGTTGGCCAGGATGGTCTTGATCTCTTGACCTTGTGATCTGCCCGCATTGGCCTCCCAAAGTAGTGGGATTATAGGTGTGTGCCACTGTGCCCAGCCATGTGTATGGTTTATTAAATATAACTTCAAAGTAACCAAAACATGAGAAATGGTCACATAAGATATATTAGTATCGTATCTTCCTCAGACAAGAATAATTTTTAATATTAGGCTGTAATATCTTTATGCTTTCACTGAGTTGTACTTGTAAAGGAAAACAATCAGTACCAAAACATTTAAAATATTATCCTATCTACCCAGAGGGCTGTGAAGATATTCTACTATATATAATATATATATAGTATGTATATATATATATATATATACTATGTATATATACTATGTATAATATAAACAAAAAAATCACTTTTCTTTTAAAATAAGGCAATATTTGCTATAAAATTTCTTTCTTACTAGACAGAATGAAATGTAGTGAGAAAGGATTAAACTTATTCAATGACAATTACAGTTAATGGCCTTAATATTATCAATGCTAACAGCAGTTTTTTTTTTTCTTTTTTCCTTTTTTTCTAGACAGAGTTTTGCTCTATTGCCCAGGCTGGAGTCCAGTGGTGGATCTTGGCTCAGTGCAACCTCCGCCTCACAGGTTCAAGTGATTCTTGTGCCTCAGCCTCCTGAGTAGCTGGGATTATAGGTGCCTGACACCACACTTGGCAATTTTTGTATTTTTAGTAGAGATGGAGTTTCACCATATTGGCCAGGCTGGTCTTGAACTCTTGACCTCAAGTGTCTGCTTTAGCCTCCCAAAGTGCTGGGATTATATGCATGACACACCGTGCCCAGCCCGTTTTTTTTTATCTTAAATATTCATGTGAAAGTATATTTATTAGAAAAATTAACAAAAACTATGTCATACTTCATTCTTATTCGGTTTGTGTGAGATTGATATTACACAATATCATCCTTTTCTTAATAATTTCTGGAGAGCCAAATTACCTAAGATCTGTATCTTATAATTCTGCTAGGTATTAAGAATAAGAATAGCATCATTTAATATTTATTGAACACTTACTGTGTGCCAGGCACAGATGTAAATGATTCACTCATTTAATCCCCATAAACTAGGTATTATTAATACTGCAATTTAACAGATCAAGAACTCAAGAATTTTAAAGAATATCTTTGGGTTTTCAAATGAAAAGATACCAAGTTACACATCTTGTATGGTAAGAGTTTGATTCAGAAAAGATCAGGAACATTCACATTCAACATTTACTAGGTACCTACTCTGCATCAAATGCAGTGCTAGCCACATTCATGGAAGTTAATTTAGAAGTAACCCTGTGAGCTATCATTATAGTAAGTTTATTGAAAATAAAGCTGAGAGGCCAGGCACAGTGGCTTATGCCTATAATCCCAGCACTGTGGGAGGCCGAGGCAGGTGGATCAGCTGAGGTTGGGGGTTCGAGACCAGCCTGACCAACATGGAGAAACCCCGTCTCTACTAAAAATACAAAAAAATTAGCTAGGCATGGTGGTGCATGCCTGTAATTCCAGCTACTTGGGAGGCTGAGGCAGGAGAATTGGTTGAACCCAGGAGGCTGAGGTTGCAGTCAGCCAAGATCGTGCCACTGCACTCCAGCCTGGGCGACAAGAGTGAGACTCTGTCTCAAAAAGAAAAAAGAAAAAAGAAAATGCAACTGAGAAGCAATGAGAGTAACATTTATTTGAGATCTTCAACCAAAGTTAAAAAAAAAAGTCTATTATTTCTTTTAATGCTTTTTAAATTAAAAAATACATAGTAATTGAAGTTCTGTGCAAAGGGACTTTCTTTTTCCTTGAAACAGTTTAGGGAAGCTTTGGAGAAGAGGTGGCATTTGAGTCTTGAATTAGAAAAAGATCACCTGCTATGAGAGAGCATTCCAGGCCTAGGGAACAGCAGCTGTAAAGTTCAAAGTCCTTTGAACTCTCCTTTTCTTACAGACGTGATGCCCTTCCTCTTTGACCTTTAATCCCAAGAAGCAAGAGCCAAGCCATGCCTTATTAAGGTTGCCCTCAGCAAAAAAATAAAATAAAATAAAATTTACCTTTTAGTTGTTCCTCGGTATCTAATCTTATTTTGTTAACAGCTTCATCTCTGGAAATCTAAAAGAAAGTTGAGGTTCAGTTATTACAGATACATGGCAACATTTAACATTTCTGTTTTCTAATTATTATACAATGAATACATTGTGAGTTACTCAGATTTCTCTAACTGTAATATTCTTTAAAATATTAAAATTGGTTGATTTATGACAAATATTACCTGTTAATTCATTCAAATACATTTGTATACTCCCCTAAAACTTATATTAAAAAAGAAAAGAACTTTGGGAGGCCAAGGTGGGCAGATCACCTGACGCCAGGATTTTGAGACCAGTCTGGCCAAAATGGTGAAACCCTGTTTCTACTAAAAGTACAAAAGATAGCCAGGTGTGGTGGCGTGCATCTGTAATCCCAGCTACTTAAGAGACTGAGGCAGGAGAATCGCTTGAACCTGGAAGGTGGAAGTTGTGGTGAGCCAAGATCATACCACTGCACTTCATCCTGGGCTACAGAGTGAAAATCTTGTCTCAAAAACAAAACAATGGAGAAATAAGCAATTAGGCTTTTGTTAGCTTTTTGTTTAGAAATTTCTAATAAAAATAGGGCTAACATTCATAAGGAAAATTACATGAGTTATGACAAAAATGTATTCCTAGGACAATTATATAAGACAAAATTCAGGTATACCTACCTTATCATGTTCATAATTTGTAAAAACTGCATAGAGTTTCTCCATAGCGAGTCTATTTAAGCACAAAATAAATGTTAGCATAGTATTTGGAAACATGAGGCAGTTTTTATTATAAACAAAACTGAAATATTTAATAATAATCAGCTAAAACTTTAATAAATATTTCAGGAAGAATTAAAAATTTATATTGCTATTTATCATTGCTAATCTGTTTACTATTTATGGTACAGAACACAAATTTCTTTCTCCTATCCTCTGAGGGGAAATCACTTATGGTATCCTGCTCTCTTCTTTTTAATTGTTCAATTAATTTCACCTTTCACCTACTTTTTTAAACCTCTTCCTTTCTTCCATTCCACCCATTTTGGCTCAGTTATCACAGGAAACTCTTTTGCTAGGAAGAGTTAATTTAATTTCTAACTGATGGCTGTGCAACTGACATTGAGGGAAAGTATTAACCTTTTACATTTACAGAGTGTCTGCCTAACATTCTAAGCACTGGGCATGTAACAGTGATTACATCTGATTTCTTTTTGAGAATCTCAACAGTTTCCTTAGATATTCAAGTATCTTATGGTTTATTCTCTGTTTCCCAGATACAGAGAGATGTGGGGATTACCTGAATCTTGACCAATAAACACAGTCTTTCATTTGAGATTCAAAGTTAGGCCTTACAAGAGTGATGTGGGCTTATCCTTTTTAAGGGAATTAACAGATATTTATTTATGGGAATTACTCTTAAAACAGAAAATACTATTTATGAAGTAATACATGGGCAGTGCTTCCATGGGAAGTTTTTCTCCCAAGAGGAAATTAAATCTGATGACAATTTCATATTTTCATTTGCACAGATGTTCTTACTTATGAGCATGTTTCACAATCTCTGGTGAAGGGGTAAATAACTTCTGAGGTGTCCTCTTGGTAACACCAATTTCTTTTACCAACTGCTGGATGCCCTGAATTATTTGTTGGGTATATTTCACTCCAATTTTGATAGCATGGCAGAAGTCCTGCTGTAAAATGTTCTCTGCAGAGGCTTCCAACATCACTATTTAAAGGGGGAAAAAAAAATTGCCATCAAAGCTCTTAGTAACATAACATTTTCAAATACCATGACATGACATAAATATTAAAGATCAATTTTAGTTCTTAGTGATAGGTCCACCATGATTTCTTTCCTCAGAATCGACATACTTCCAAAATGTATGCAGCAGTAAACGAATTAAAAAGAAACCTTGGTATCTGTATTTAGGTTTATATTCTTTTTAAGCTTAAGGAGCTACTGCCCATAAAAAATGAAACAAAAAAGAAATTATGCATATATTTTAAAAATAAGTTTTATTGAGCTATAAGTCACATAAAATAAAAAATTCAATCTTTTAAAGTATACAAGTGCATTTGTTTTTAATACATATTTTAAATAAAATTTTAAAATATGCAACACAGTAGGAATCTAATAAGTATTTCCTGTTTAACAATTGTCACATGATCTAATTCTTGCACAGACAGGGAAATTTTTGCAGTGATCCTTTTTCAAGTAAGCCAACTAAAGGACTGTGATGACCATCAGAAAAAGATAGCTTTTATAACAGTGAAACTCCTGTGTAGTGCAGGTAAAAGTTGGGCTCCTAAAATCCACGATTCAGCTTCAGTTTTGCATTCTGAAAGGCTGACTAGCCTCCTGCCTACTTGTGTGTCATTTCTGGTGTTTTGCAACTCGTACAAAGTCAAAGATGATGCAACTTGAGTTATCAACTAACATAAATGCATAGTTATCAACATATATTTAACCGCATCCTGTTGTCATTAAGATTTATTATTATCAGACTCATCACTTCTAAGGTTTCTAGGTTTAATTTATAATAGAATGAACGCCTTCACCCGCTCAGTGTGCTTTATATGTTAGAATTCCATCAGCCAACTGAAGTAGACCCATGAAAGGATCTAATATTTAGGTTATCAGAGTCATGGAAGAATAGGAGAAAGAGGTCAGGGCTGAAAAAGTACTAGAAAAAATAATTGTTGAGGCCAGGCATGGTGGCTCATGCCTGTAATCCTAGCACTCTGGGAAGCCGAGGTGGGCGGATCACCTGAGGTCGGGAGTTCAAGACCAGCCTGATCAACACGGTGAAACCCCGTCATAAAAAAAAAAGAAAAAGAAAAAGAAAAAATAATTGTTGAAAACTCCTCAAATTTGACAGACACAAATGTACAGATTCAAAGTAAATTCTAAACTGGGTAACTCCCAAAAAAGCCAAGCCAAGAAACATCATAATTAGACTTCTGAAAACCAAAGATAACAACTTGAAACCAGCCAGAGAAAAATGACACCTTACCTACAGGGGAAAAGCAATTCAAGTAACAGCAGATTTGCCACCAGAAACCAGGGAGGCCAGAAGGAAGTGGCACAATATTTTTCAGGTGCTGACAGAAAAAACTGTCAGCTGGGCGTGGTAGCTCACACCTATAATCCCAGCACTTTGGGAGGCTGAGGTGGGCGGATCACCAGGTCAAGAGATTGAAACCATTCTGGCCAACATGATGAAACCCCGTCTCTACTAAAAATACAAAAATTAGCTGGGTGTGGAGGTATGTGCCTGTAGTCCCAGCTACTTGGGAGGCTGAGGCAGGAGAATCGCCTGAACCTGGGAGGCAGCGGTTGAAGTGAGCCAAGATCATGTCTTTGTATTCCAGCCTGGTGACAGAGCAAGACTCCGTCTCAAAAAAAAAAAAAAAAAGAACTGTCAACCCAGAATTCTATACCCAGTGAAAATACTAAGGAATGAAAGAGAAATCAAGACTCTCTGATGAAGGAGAGATAAGAAAATTTGTTGCCAGCCAACCTACCCTAAGAGAATAACTAAAGGAAGTTCTCTAAACAGAAATAAGTAAAGAAATCGTGGACTGTTAGGAAAGAAAATCAGTATGCAAACTAAGAATAAATACAGAGGCCAGGCATGGTGGCTCACCTGAGGTGAGGAGTTCGAGACCAGCCGCCCCCCCCATGGTGAAACTTCATCTATACTAAAAATACAAAAAAAATTAGCAGGGTGTGGTGGTTGTGGTGGTAGGTGCCTGTAACTCCAGCTACTCAGGAGGCTGAGGCACGAGAATCGAGAATCACTTTTACCCAGGAGGTGGTGGTTGCAGTGAGCTGAGACTGCGCCACTACACTCCAGCCTGGGCAACAGAGTGAGACTCCATCTCAAAAAAAAAAAGAGTAAATACAGAGCAATAGGCTTCTCTTGAGTTTTCTAAATTATGTTTGATAGTTGAAGCAAAAGTGAAAATTATAACACTGCCTAATATGGCTCTAACTGTAGAAGAAAATGAAAATTGCATTCCAAATGGGGGAGGGTAAAGGAAAATAAGGTTCCCATATTTTACACCAGTCATGAAGAACTTTCCTCTGATACAGGATATGAGATGGCTATATTCTTTTTCTCATCTGTATTTCCAGGATATCCTCTCACTTTGACAGAATTAAACAGGAGATTTAAAAAAAATTCATTTAATGTTTGTAAATTATATCTCCATAAATTGCTTTTAAAAATAAAATATGTGGCCGGGTGTGGTGGCTCACGCCTATTGTCCCAGCACTTTGGGAGGCCAAGGTGGGAGGAGCAGCCTGATCTCAGAGCAACACAGCAAGGTCCTGTTCCTAAACAAAATAACAACTAGAAGATAAAAAACTCGGTTGTGGTGATGTGCCTGTAGACTCAGCTATTCTGGAGGCTGAGGCAGGAGGATCACTTGAGCCCAGCAGTTTGAGGCTACAGTGAGTCATGATCATGCCACTATACTCATACCTATAGTCTGGACAACAGAATTGAGAACCAGAATCAAAAAACAATATACATATTTGGCTGGGCATGGGACTCATGCTTGTAATTCCAGTGCTATGGAAGGCCAACACAGGAGGATTGCTTGAGGCCAGGAGTTTCTAGCCTGGGCAATATAGTGAGATGCTATGTCTAATACAAATAATAATAAAATTTAAAAAATAGAATATGACAAAGAAAAATGTATACCCACCCAAATAAATTTTGTTTTTACTCATTAAACTTTAATGCAATTCCTTTTTAAAAATACTTTATAAGAAAATTCCTTTAGCCAGGTGTGGTGACATGTGCCTATAGTTGCAGCTACTTAGGAGGCTGAGGGCAGAGAATCACTTGAACCCCAGAGTTTGAGGCTGTAGTGACGTATAATCACACCCCCGCATTCCAGCTTGGGTGACAGAGAGAGACTGCATCTTAAAAAAAAAAAAAAAAATGGCCGGCATGGTGGCCCACGCCTGTAAACCCAGCACTTTGGGAGGCCGAGGCGGTAGATTACGAGATTAAGACCATCTTGGCCAACATGGTGAAACCCTGTCTCTATTAAAAATACAAAAATTAGCTGAGCATGGTGGCACGTGCCTGAAGTCCCAGCTACTTGGGAAGCTGAGGCAGAAGAATCACTTGAACCTGGGAGACAGAGGTTGCAGTGAGCTGAGATCGTGCCGCTGCAGTCCAGCCTGGCTACAGAGCGAGACTCAGTGTCAAAAAAAAAAAAAAAATTATTAGTTCATTCCTCTAATGTCTACTTACAATTAGAAGGGTTTAAACTCTAAGGAAGATAGTGGCTATATGACCAATTAGCAGCAGGTTTATTTCTGTGTCTTAATAACAATAGCAGGTGCTAACTGTATGCTTCTTAGGTACCAGTAACATAGTAACATGCTGGGAACTTGCAAACCTTGACTCTTATCTTCATAGCTACCCTGTAAAGTAACCAGACCAGTTTACTAACAGAGAATAAATGAACACTGTAACTTTCAGCAAAAAATTCAGATGTAGATGAACAGGAAACCAGTACTTTGCTCAAGGGTCTGAGACGCTCAAACATGAGGTAGATGTCATCTATTATTCATGGCTTCCCCATTCTTTGGAATATCCTCTCTACATTTTGACAGTTACCCACAGTACAACTCCCATCTTCTGGCAGAATATAAAAATCATTTCCTTGCCTCCCTTGCAGTCAAGGGTATGGTCATGTGTCATAGTTCTGCTCAATGAGATGTAAATGAAAACTGCCGTGTGGGAATTTCTGGGAAAGTTGCTTAAAATGCAGGTTGACTCACTCAACTCACTTTTTTGCCATTCCCTTCTTTTTTCTTTCACCTGCCTTTAAGTCAGATGAATTGGCCAGAGCTCTTCATGTCAGTTCATAAGCATGAAGATGAGGCCACATCTTGAGGACAGCAAAGGAGAAAGCTAAAAAAAAAGGAATCTAGACTTCTTAAGATGGCATGGAACCACTATCACTGTCCTAGATTTACCACCTCTCAATTTCTTTTACCTGAGTGAAAAATAAGTTTCCATCTTAAGTCTTGTTTATTTGGTTTGACAACACAACCCCAACTAATAGGTGGGGATTTTTCCATCTTACAGAACCTCATTTTAACTTCCTTCACTGACTAACGTACCAGAAGCAGAAGCTGGAAATGAGATGTTTCACATATTACTTGTACAAAAAAAAGCAGTAAAAGCTGAATAGTTTATGTTTCATCAAAATGTTCCCACATTAGAAAATCCTATGTCAAAAAGTCCCACATGTCAGACATCACATAGAATAAATCAACAATAAATGCCCTTAAATAATTTATACAAGATCGCATGATTATAGTGGCAGAGACAGGTTTTAAATCTAGGTCATTCTGATGGCTAAAGCCCATTTTCCTTCCACAGAACAAGGACCTGATTTTCATTCATGCAAGGATGACGTTTCTGTTACAAGGAGTAAGTGAAAATGGCCCATGGCCAATGCATTTCCTTATTTTATTACTAATTTTCCACCTGGTGGAAATGGGTCATTTCTCAAGAGGATACCAAGCAGACTGAGAATGATGTAGCTAAATTATAATATTTAAGCTAATAAAATGGTTACTACCAGACTTAGAACTTCTATTTTTAAACTAAGTTATTTAGATTAATAACTTATTTGTTTAAACATAATTACTGAAATTATTTTTAGACTATAAATAGTCTAAAAATAATTACCGAAAGTATCTTGGTAAATATTTTTGTATATTTTATATAAAGCTGAATAACATCCTGTAATTTTAGGTATCATTTGATATGAAGCAAGATCACTACAAAAATAGGACAGAGATGAAACATAACAAAAATTTTTATGGCTGCCAACAAAACATACACACAAAGAGTTTAAATTCAGTTTAAGAAGTCAGAACTTGTAAGTAAAATCCAGAACATATGTGGTATTTAAATAACTTACCAATCTGACTTTTAGGTGCTCCAGCAACCACTAAATTTAAAGTACTAGAAGACATTTCTTTTCTTGTTGGGTTAACAACACATTCTCCATCAATCATTCCTATTCGTACTGCCCCTAAAATGTATTAGAATATTGAAAACCGTTTAATGGAAATTCACAGTTTTCAAGAATTCCAGTGATGGTTTCAATCCCATCTTTGATTGTGACCACAGAATAAAATCCGTATTTCTACCATGGTATTTAAGACCCACAGACCATCCTATCCCGCCCTACCTTCTGGCCTCACTGGACCACTCTGAACTGCTCAAATATACCCCTCTCCCCACACCTCCATGATTATGCTCATGTCTGCCCCCTGGTCTAGACAGTACTCTCTCTAAGGCAAATGCTTAACATCAGATCCTACTAAGGTTCAGCTTATAATATGAATACTCCAAGGAGTTCCCTTTGACAACCTGACCACACAAAATCACACCTGCTCTTCTCTATCACATTCTTAGCATTTTGACTCTCTTTATAATAACACTGATTATAAATAATTATCTGTCTCCTTTATGCTGAAATCAAGAAATGCATCTTTCACCATTGTATTGCTAGGGCCTAGTCTGCTTAGGACACTTGATAATTATTTACTCAATGAGCTATTTTTAAATTGCATGATTATGACTTGTAAGAGCTGTAAGTTACATTAATTTTACCCTGAAAGAGTATATACTCTGATCATTTCCCAGTTTAAAAATAAAAGAAGTCCTCTAACAGAAAGAGACAATTAAGAAGTCAAAATATCTAGGGACATGAAATCTATAACACCATAACATACTGCTATTAGAAACAGAACCCAAGACAAACATGATAATGTCTGAAAGATCTGAAAGGAGACTTAGAATGTCATCTAGTTCAATTCCTGAAGAGGTACTAAATCAGAGCCATATGCAGTTGCTATTAACATGCTCACTTTTACTAAAAAAAATATACACATGATTTCTTATTTTTAAATCCTAACTTACCAACAGGTCCATTCCAAGGAATATCTGATAATGAGAGGGCTGCAGAAGCTTAAAAAAAAAAAGAGAAAAATAGGGGCTGAAATTAAAATTTCATTGCTTTAAAAAAATCAACAATGAAATTTTAATCTCTACTTTTATACTTACCGCCATTAATTGCTAGGACATCAGGCTCATTAATACCATCTACTGCTAACAGATTACACAGAACCTGGTGTAAGGGAAAAAATTTAAGGCACTTAAAAGAATCTGTTTGATTTGGAAGGATTATCATTTAGGTTAACATCCTGGCCTAACATACAAGAGCATTATATGGCTAAAAGGACATCTTGATTTTGCTATCATTTAACTAAATGCTTGACATTGGATAAACTACTTAAACCTCAAAAGCTTCATCATCTTTAAAAGGGAAAAACAGGACAGTCATGGTAGTTCACGCCTATAATCCCAGCACTTCGGGAGGCTGAGGTGGACAGATCACCTAAGTTTAGGAGTTTGAGACCAGTTTGATCAACATGGTGAAACCCTGTCTTTACTAAAAAGACAAAAATTAGCCAGGTGTGGTGGCCCACACCCGTAGTCCCAGCTAACCAAGAGGCTGAGGCAGGAGAATCTTCTGAACCCAGGAGGTAGAGGTTGCAGTGAGCTGAGATCGCACCACTGCACTCCAGCCTGGGCAACAGGGTAAGGCTCTGTCTTTAAATAAATGGGAAAAATAATGGCATCTTCCCAAAGGGTTCCTGTGAGAATTAGAGAAATACCATAGATAAAGCATTTACGACAGTCCTCACATGTTGCAAGTATTCAGTAAATGTTAGCTATTTCTGTCATATAAAAATATTTTCTGCTGGCCAGGTGCGGTGGCTCACACCTTATAATATCAACACTTTGGGAGGCCAGGGAGTGCAGATCACAAGGTCAGGAGTTCAAGACCAGGGTGGCCAACATGGTGAAACGCTGTCTTTACTAAAAGTACAAAATTAGCCGGGTGTGGTGGTGGGCACCTGTGATCCCAGCTACTCGGGAAGCTAAGGCAGGGAGAATCACTTGAACCCGGGAGGCGGAGGTTGCAGTGAGTCAAGATCATGCCATTGCAATCCAGCCTGGGCTACGGAGGAAGACTCCATCTCAAAAAAACAAAACAAAACAAAAACCACAAAAATTTGTTTATAAGCATAGATGAAACAAACTTTACACTGCAATAATGTGCCCATGTCATGCACTAAAGAAAAAAACTTCCCTGACCAGGCATGGTGGCTCATGCCTGTAATAACAGCACTTTGGGAGGTCTGAGGCAGGAGGATCGCTTGAGACCAGGAGTTCGAAACCAGCCTGGTTTACATACTCTCTACAAAAAACAAACAAACAAACAAACAAAAAAAAAACTTAGCTGGGTATGGTGGTTTGTGCCTGTAGTCCCAGGTACTCAGGAGGCTAAGGTGGGAGGATCATTTGGGCTCAGGAGTTTGAGGCTGCAATGAGCCATAATCATGTCAACTCTACTCCAGTCTGGGCAACAGAGGCCTTGACTCAAAAAAAACCACCATCACCAGCAACAACAACAAAAACTTCCCTGAGGCTGAGGCTGTGATATTCTTGCAAAGGCATAATTGTAAGGTGTGTTTATTTATTTCAAATGAATAAAATGGTTACTTAAGTTTATGAGACATTATCCTAAAAGAGAATACTATTCTACTAACATACAATATAGATTCAGAGGATCCAGCAATAAAATTAGGTAATAAAAATTAGTTACATTGGTTGTCCTATACTGTAACTAATATGACCTACAAGGCCCAGCCTGATCTGGTCCCCACTCACTCTAGTCACGCTGACCTTCTTTTTAAACTCACTAATTTCTTTCCTGCCTGTGGGCTTTCATGCTTCCCTGACACACCTTGGTTGGCTAACTCCTACCCATAATTCTGGTGTCAACTCAAGTAGAAAAGTACTATATTTTTTCAAAAAATTAATGTAAAATATAATATCATAAAAAATTCTTATGTTCATTATAACGTTTAGTCTAGGAAGTATTATAGAGATTCATTAGGTAATTTTTGACTGATCTGGCAACTAAAAAACCTAAAGCAGAACCTACCTGTGTATCATAGAAGTAGCCAACTGGAAAGAGAGGTCTAATCGAGCGATCTGCCAAAAGAAAAGAAAGACATTACACAGTACTGAAAGAGTTGCTTTACAGTTCAAAACTTTTGAACTAATATAGATAGCTGTTCAGTATGTTTTCAAGAAAAGTCCCCCTGGACTGATTTACTAAGAGGGACACAGATAAATGTTAGTGCTTCCATTAATACATACCATTCCCTAACAATAAGACACAAACATGGAAGGAGCACATTAACTATAAAGATTGGATAGCAACTTTTCATTCTGGTTCCATAGGCATCAGTTATATATGTAATCAGAGCAAAGAGACTTCAGACCAATAGCAGACCAAAAGAAAATGCTTCCTTGCTACTTTGTGTCTGAGGACTGTATATAAATATACATAAAATAGCAAGTTCTGGATAGAAGAGCTATAAATTACACAATGATCCCACCACATGTAGGGATGTTAAAGACTTGAAAGGTATGGACATTATTTCAGTAGCTGATGACTATAATGTTTAGGAATTACTATACTGAACATTAAAAAGGTACTGGAAATAGATTCAGCGGAGTAGAGGCATGGGCCATAAAGTTCATATGCTTGATAGAGATTTACTCATTTAGTCAACAAATATTTATTGAATGCCTATTCTGTGTTAAGCAGTATACCAGGTACTAGGGATTCAACAGTGAATAAACAACATTTTTTTTTCTCTCATAGAGCCCATATTTTAGTAAGGGAATAGAGAGAGTGAATAATCTTAGGTGGTGTTAATGCTATGAAAGAAAACTTAAGACATATTCTAGAACACAGACGAAAAAGAAGAGATGCTAACATAAGTATATAAGAGATGATGAATGCCTCTATGTTAATATCTTACCTATTATTCGACTTGTAAGAATTTCTTTATCAGAAGTACCAATCTCTCTTCTCAGATAGTTGGTGGGAATTCTACCTGCTGCAGCAGCCTTTTGTCTGTAGTCAACCTGAAGTAGCAATAAAAATGAATTCATATAATTCTTTTTGCAGAAACAAACTATACCGTAAGAACTACTGTATGAATGCTAATTCTCCTAAGGTTGCTAACAACATAGTCAAGACTCAGAGTAGAGAATGTTATTTATTTAGCATTTTGTAACTCTTGGGGAAAGGAAAGTTAATAGAAGTGTTTCTGTAAAGTGATTTAAAAAAACATTCAGGTGCAGTGGCGCACGCCTGTAATCCCAGCACTTTGGGAGGCCAAGGCAGGAGGATCACTTGAGGCCAGGAGTTTCAGACCTGCCTGGGTAAACATAGAAAGACCTTGTCTCTACCAAAAAAAAAAAAAATTCGTTGGGCACATGGCCTGAGCCCATAGTCCTAGCTACTCAGAAGGCTGAGGTGGGAGGATCTCTTGAGCCTAGGAGTTTGAGGCTGTAGTGAGCAATGATCACACCACTGAACAACCCTAGCCTGGGTGACAGTGCAAGACCCTGTCTCTAAGAAAAAAAAAAAAGTCTTCTACTCAATAGTTGGAGCGGAAGAGTCACTATTTCCTACAGTTTCTCATTCTGATCAAGTCAAACATTGCTTTTTCTTGTTATCAACTCTGTTAAATGTAATTGTACTCCCCTCTTTTCATAATAGAAGCTGTAAAATTCTAATGAGCTCATTACTAAACATATACAGTTGTCTCTTGGTATCCCTAGGGGAATTGGTTCTAGGACCTCTTGAGGATATCAAAATCCATGGGTGCTCATATCCTTGATGTAAAACACCATAGTATTTGTTTATAACCTATATATATCCCCTCATATACTTTAAATCATCTCTAGATTACATATACTCCTTAATGCAATGTAAATGCTATGTAAATAGTTTTTATACTATATTGTGTAGGGAATGACAAGAAAAAAAAGTCTGTACAATGTCAGTATAGATGCAATTTTTCCCCAATATTTTCGATCCATGGTTGGTTGAATCCATGGATGCAGAACCCGAGGATATGCAGGGCTGACTATACTTGCAGAGTCATATTGAAGGGAAACTATGAAGGCAATGAATTCACTGCTTATTCAATGTCAAAGTACTCATGCACTTCCAGTCTTCTTGTCAACGTATGCACCTGGACATTCCAAATTCTAAAATATGCTTAATACTAGTATTTGTTTATTAAGCAATCAGTTTAGACTCTTTTAATGACTCAGTATCAAAAAACTAAAAAAATTCTCTGCTGTGCAAGTTTGTATTTCCCCCTCACTAGACACTGGACAAAAATATTACACATTCTACACTTACTTACACAATATTACAGTTCAGATAAACCAGCAAATACTTACCACCAAAGGCATAAACTGGGAAGGTGAAGGTTTTGTTTTACTGACCGCTGTGACCATTACTGCAGTGTCACCTGACTTAAATATAAATAAGAAAACTGGTAAGTTCCTTTGAAATCAGATATTAGTATCTACGTAGAAACTGAATGAATCCTTATTCCAATTAAACTCAAGAACAGATATGTAATTCTATGACATGATTATGAAATGAAAATAGTTATTTGCAAGTAGTCCAATCTTGATCTCTGAGCTTTTCAAAAGCTATGGAATCAAAAGAAGGAAAGGCTAACAGGTAATTTAGTCATATCCAATGAACTGAACAGTATATTCTACTTCTTATGTGGCTATACATAATGAAAAATCCCCCAGTTATTACTATAGAAGAAAATACCAAAATCACTCTCTAGAAGAGCATAACAATTTACTAAAAGCATAAAACAGAAGCCCAAGTTTGGAAAGGATGTTAAAGGTCACTTAATATATTCAGCCCTCTAGACTCTGATTGTCTGGAATGATTTTTACAATAGAAATGTAAGGGAATGTAATAGTATTTGAATTAATTTCCAGTACCAAATCCTAAGTAGTTACATGGTATTATAGATGCATATTTAGTATGAGTCTCCATAACCATTTTTAAGATGAATTTTTAAAATCTGAACTTTTTACCTGTACTACAGCAGAGCCATCTGCAAATCTGGCCAGTTTTCCAGAGGATATTTCCAATTTCCTATTTAAAAATAAAAATGCAATACAAGAAGACTTAGGTTATTGGTACAATTCCAGCTTAGTATAATAAAGGATTCTAACAAAAGATTCTTACCAACTACCCCCAGCAACAAACAAAAAGGGACAGAATCTGTGATCATTATTAAAAGTAAAAGGGTAATTTAAGAGTGGCTTAAAGCAGAATACACAAACCAAGACACAGGATTGATCTGAAAAGGAAAGTATTTTGGAGATTCAGAAGTTAACTGCTTGCCTAAATGTTAATTCCCATTTACCATCTTTTTTTTTTGGGCGGTGGGGGGTCATTTTGCCTTGTATCTTTTTTCTTTTCTTTTCTTTTTTTGAGACAGAGTCTTACTCTGTTGCCCAGGCTGGAGTGCAATGGCACAATTACAATTCGCTGTAACCTTGAACACCTAGGCTTAAGTGATCCTCCACCTCAGTTTCCTGAGCGGTTGGGACTACAGGTGCACACCATCACACTTGGCTAATTTTATTTTTTGTACAGATGGGATCTCACTATATTGTCTAAGTTGGTCTTCAACTCCAGGCTTTAAGCAATTCTCCTGCCTTGGCCTCCCAAAGTGTTGGTATTACAGGTATGAGCCACTGTGCCTAGCTCCATTTACCATCTTAGTACAGTCTTTTATCATCTCTCACCTTGTTGCCTACAGTAGCATTTTAACATACAAATAAGATCATTTCCCTATTTAAAAATGCTATAGCCAGACGTGTGTCTCACACCTGTAATACCAGCACTTTGAAAGGCTGAGGCAGGCCAATCACCTGAGGTCAGGAGTACAAGACCAGCCTGACAAACATGGTGAAACCTCGTCTCTACTAAAAATATCAAAATTAGCTGGGCATGGTGGCACGTGTCTGTAATCCCAGATACTGGGGAGGCTGAGGCAAGAGAATTGCTTGAACCCAGGAGGGGGAGGTTACAGTGAGCCGAGATTGTGCCAGTGCACTCCAGACTGCGTGACAGAGTAAGACTCCATAATCCAAAAAAAAAAAAAAAAAAAAGCTTTAGAATTTCTCTCAGACCTTTTAGGACAAAATACAAACTCCTAAATATTGCCTTCAAAAACCTTCATGTTCAACAGAGGGGAGAGAATCATCTTCAATTCAATGAAGAAAGAGTAGTCTTTTGACACAATAGTGGACAACTGTATGCGAAAAAGAATGAATCTTCATAAATTAACTCAAAGTAGATCCTACACCGAAACATAAAAACTAAAACAACAGAAGTCTTACAAACAAAATGCAGGAGCAAATCTTCAGAGACTTGAGCCAAAGTCTTAAATGTGACATCAAAAGCATAAATGACAAAAGAAAAAAACAGGTAAGGTAGATTTCATCAAAATCAAAATCTTTCATATTTCAAAGACCATTAAGACAGTAAAAGAAACACCATAGATAAGGAGAAAAATATTTGCAAACCATATTAACTGATAAGGGATTTGTATTAATATCTAGAATATGCAAAGAATGCTTACAATTCAACAATAAAGACAACAAAATTTTAAAATCTGGCAAAGGACTTGAACAGACATCTTTTGCCATACAAATGGCAAGTACATAAAAATATGCTAAATGTCATTAGCTATCAGAGAAATGCAAATCAAAATCACAATGAGTACCATTTGACATGTTATAAATTGTAGCATTATTCATAATATCCCCCAAATGGAAACAACCCAAATGTCTGTCAACTGATGAATAGATAAGCTAAATGTGGCATAATACATACAACAGATTATTATTCAGCTATAAAAAGGAACAAAGTACTAATACATGTTACAACATGGATAAACCCTGACAACATTATGTTAAGTGAAAGAAGGCAGTCACAAAAGACTATGTTTCCACGTAAGAAATGTTCATAATAGGCAAATCCACAGAGATGGAAAGTAGATTAGTGGTTGCCTGGCCTGGGGAGAAATGCTAAGTGACTACTACTACTGAGTTTCTTTTAAGGTTGATAGAAGTGTTCTAAAATTGATGGTGGTAATGGCTACAAAACTTTGAATATAGTAATACTCACTGAACTGTATACTTTATTTATCTGTATTTATTTATTTTGAGATAGGGTCTTACTCTGTTGCCCAGGCTGGAGTGCAGTGGTGCCATCACGGCTCACTGCAGCTTTGACCTCCCAAGCTCAAGTGATCTTCCCACCTCAGCCTCCTGAGTAACTTGGAGTACAGGTGTGCACCACCACACCAGACTAATTTTTAAATTTTTTGTAGAGAAGAGATCTCACTATGTTACACAGGCTGGTCTCAAACTCCTAGACTCAAGCAATCCTCCTGCCTTGGCCTCCTAAAGTGCTAGGATTACAGACATGAGTCACTGCCCTGGACGAGTTGTACACTTTAAATGAACTGTATGTATGATATGTGAATTATATCTTAATAAAGTTGTCTTACATACATGAAATAGGCAGAACTATTAGCCTGATTCCCCAGTTTCAGCAGAGAATGCAAAAAGAGGCTACTGAAGTCTGGAAACAGACCAGCAAAAAGCTCAAGATTCATCAAAAGGTGTTTTGAGATGAAACCAAGTTAGTTACCCCTGAAGATATGAAAGAAGAGGGTCTATCACATGAACTCAGCTTCAGGAACATTCTATCATAGTCTGGTGCTGAAAATGCACAAACCAAACACAAGCATGCAGAGTCCAAATGCCCTGCCCCAAATAAGATTATTTGTCCTTCATATACCAGAGAGACAAAGGAACAACACTTAATATTTCCAACTGTTAAATACCTTTGCCAGAACCCTGAGTTAAGAAAAGCATATTACGGGCTGGGCATGGTGGCTCATGCCTGTAATCCCAGCACTTTGGGAGACGGAGTTGGGTGGATCACCTGAGGTCAAGAGTTCGAGACCAACCTGACCAACATGGAGAAACTCCATCTCTATTAAAAAAAAAAAAGAAAAGAAAAAAAAAAGAAAAAGAAAGAAGAACGAAAGAAAGAAAGAAAGGAAGGAAGAAAGAAAAGCATATTTACCTATTCAGTTAGACTCATTTTGTTAAGTTTGAAAGTCAGAACAAAACATGTACATTTAAAATATGTATGTTAACAAATACAATGATTTTGCAGTATTGAATTCTTGACTCTGAAATATTAGTTTTTTTTTTTTAAATCAGGAACTTTTTGAGAAATTCTAATTGGATTTCTACTTATTCAACAAAGATGTTATAATGATGAAAGACTACAATAAAATGGGTCTCCTCTGACTGATGGGAAGAGGAGTCTGGTACTGGAGTAATAGGTGGAGTAGATGGAAGGAATGAGATACACAGAACCAGTCATACTGTGTAGTATCACACAGACCTGCAACAACTTATAGCTGAAATCAGTATTAAGTAATGTTTTCATGTGGCAAATGTAAATTTGGCATCTTGAAATTTTGTTTAACCTTGATTAAGATACTACCAGTACTTCTCAAAACCTACCAGGGACTGGCATTCCATCTACCAATGTGAATTCTGAATACCTAAGTGATTTCTGTGAAGGGAAGTGGAGGATTTTTAACTGGATCAAAGCAGGCCCAAAACACAGGGAAGAAGAGGTGTGAAAGCTACAGTCCTACTCTACTACGGGGCTACTGTCTTAGCATTTTGCCCACAGTGGTATACTCTGTTGAATATCCTCAGTGATTTGATGCATAGTAGATTCTCAGTAAAAGCTTGCTGAAATGAAAATTAAACACCTGCCTCAAAGGTTACTGTGAGCATTAAATATGCTATTTGAAAAACACCTACAAAATTATATAATCTTCTAGAATGCAGTAAAAAACATATATGGTAGCAAATATAATGTGCCCGGTACATAGCAGTCATTCAATAAATATTGCCAATGGCGAACAAGACAAAAATGAAAGAATTTATCCAGCAGGTATGCTATGAATCTAGTTATTTCAACACATGACATGGGTTTAAAAAGAACCACTTATAAAAGAGGTACAGGTTGATTAATAAATGAAAGAGTCAAAGTAGATTATTTATGGAAAACATGGAGTAGGAACTACATCTTGTTTTAAGTATCTAGTGCCTATCTCACAGTAGGTGACTGTTGAATGAAATGTTCTGGGCATTTCATCAAAGAATGTGCACTCCTTGAAGAATGGAAGAGATGCCCTTTTCCCTAAAAAATCAGAATTAATGAATGCTGGTAATGGATTGAGCCTTAGAGATAACCTAGTCTAGGGGCGACCAAACTACAGCTAATGACTTTTTTCTGTAGAGCTCTTCAACTATAAATGTTTTTTTAAAAAAATATGTATTTCTTTTCTTTCTTTTTTCTTTCTTTTTTTGAGACGGAGTTTCACTCTTGTTGCCCAGGCTGGAGTGCAATGGCACAATCTTGGCTCACTGCAACCTCTGCCTCCTGAGATCAAGCGATTCTCCTGCCTCAGCCGCCCAAGTAGCTAGGATTACAGGTGCCCACCACCATGTCCAGCTAATTTTTGTATTTGTAGTAAAGATGGGGTTTCACCATATGGGCCAGGCTGGACTTGAACCTCCTGACCTCAGGTGATCCACCTGCCTCGGCCTCCCAAAGTGCTGGGATTACAGACAGGTGTGAGCCACCGTGTCCGGCCATTTAAAAAAATATTTCTAAAGAGTTTGAAAACACATACAGTGTGTACCTCAAAAAGCTTAATATGTATATTATCTGGTCCTTTATAGAAAAAGTTTGCAGACCCTTGATGGAATCCAGTCTTCACATTTTGCACAAGAAAATAGTGAAGTAACTTGTTCAATGTCAATTACTTATCCAAAGTTAGGGTGGAAGACCTGGATTCAAAACTAGATTTTTTTTTCTTTTTTGTATGAACTGGGGTCAAAATTTTTTTCAAAATACACACAAAAAATTTAGATATATGAGGTTTGCATTAGCAATTCCATTTATTCTAAAAACAAAGCGTAAGTTTTTTTTTTTTTTTTTAAACGGTTTCATAAAAAAAAGTACGGGCTTTATAAACAAGAATCAGAAATTCAGAAACCACCTAGTCCTATAATACTAACTTTTTAATTGACTTTAGAAAGTTATCTAACCTTTTATGAGCCTCTGTAGTCTTCACTGTAACATGAGGGTAATAGTACCTTTACTACAGGTTTAAAAAAATTGCGAGGATCATATAACTGGCGTTCAAAAAAACTGACGTTTCCTTTACCTCCTAGCCCAGGGTCATAGTGGCCACACTTTAGGCAATCAATTAGATTGGATGATATGATACATCCACGTCAACTCGTTATCCCGAGGCGGAATGTTTCCCACTTAAGAGCCCAGTGGTCCCCGAAAGTAAAGAATTCGGAAGTCAGGTGGACGGACAGAATCCGACAGAGCAAAGAAGCCGGGCACACAGCAACAAGGAAGATTCGAAAAGCAAAGGGCACGAGATAGTGCTGGAAGGAGGGTCCGAGAGGAGACACACTCCAAATCCGGAAAGGGAAATTTGGAATTCAGGTTTAGGGTAAAAAGAGATTAAATAGACCTGGGAGACCGGGTTCCTACCCTTGGAGATGAATACACTCAGGCTGGCTAGACAGGACGCCTTATGACAATCCAAGGAACGCACACCACTCCTTACCTGGTGCCTAAGTCTACAGCCACAGCTCGAGACCCTGCGCTGCCCCACAGTGCTCGCACTTGCAACTGGTTGAGTACCCGATTCCCCCCTGGCAGACGGAAGGGGCCATCGCTCCGCGGCCGGAGCCGGAGGCACGAGCAGCAGCGTCTGCAAGCCGCCATGACACCCGGCACGCGTTCAACCCGGGCTGTGTCCTGATTGGCTCAGTGCGACCGTGGGGCGGAGCCTGATGCGTTTTCGTTTCCGCGGTGCCTGAGGGACGCTGGGGTAGCGGAAATCTTGGCCACCTTCTACGAAGACTAGAGAGGGTCAAACCTATCAAAACGCGATTATGTTGTAAACGATCTTTGTATTCATCTGCCAATGAAAGGCAATTAGATAATGTTTTTTTTGTGTGTGCTATCGTAATTTAAAGGAAAAGTCCTAGAACAATGTAAATGTTTAATAAGCAGAGTAAATTTATATTTACTTTTAATGCTAGAAGTCCTAGAACAACACATTATTATTTGACTCTGTGAACTAGCAATTTGTGGTGGGCCTTGGAAAGATATTTCATCCAGCCTTTTCTTCTTCTTCTTCTTTTTTTTTTTTTTTAAGACGGAATTTCACTCTTGTTGCCCAGGCTGGAGTGCAGTTGGCATGGTTTCAGCTCACTGCAACCTCCGCCTCCTGGGTTCAAGTGATTCTCCTGCCTTAGGCCTCCCGAGTAGCTGAGATTACTGGCGCCCCCACCACGCCTGGCTAATTTTTTGTATTTTTAGTACAGATGGGGTTTCATCACGTTGGCCAGGTTGGTCTCGAACTCCTGACATCTGGTGATCCACCCACACCGGCCTCCCAAAGTGCAGGAATTACAGGCGTGAGCCACCTTGCCTGGCCTCATCCAACCTTTTCTGAATTCTCCCTTCAGTTTCCAGATATTCTGAACATCTTTCTATTCTTCAGAACTCCTTGAATCAGTTAGCATTCCTCCAGCTAGAATTGATGGAAAGCAGCATTTACCTATTAAGAATACCCCACCCCCATTTCCTCACATGAATCTGATATAATTGAAATAGTAGTAATTGGATCATAAACTCAAAAGCAAATGTAGGTACTAAAATCTTGTAGTAGAGCTTTGTTATAAAGATACAGGTGATGCAGAATACGTTTATATTTTTTATATTAGGCATTTTTAGATTAGCATAGAAACAAAAATATAAAAAGTTTAAATTCTTGTGGTTGAAACTACTGAAGCTATACCCCATGAGGTTCGGTCTGAGATGTCATTTTGGAAATAGATTTATGCCAAGTATAGTTCAATAGCCAAAATATGATTTAAAAGAGATTTCTTTACCTATGACTGTTGAAGGACATTAAAAATGGTCCAACTTAAATCCACCAGCAGCTTCTCAGATCTCCTTTTCCCTTCTAATTCCAATGAACCCGCATCAAAATAGTTAATACCACTGCATGCCCTGAATAAGCAATTACAGTTAAGTGAAACGCCATTGTATTGAATTATGTTTACCTACATTTCTTTCTCTTTTCTTTTTTTTTTTTGAGATGGAGTCTTGCTCTGTCGCCCAGGCTAGAGTGCAGTGGTGCCATCTTGGCTCATGGCAACCTCTGCCTTCTGGGTTCAAGCAATTATCTTGACTCAGCCTCCCAAGTAGCTGGGATTACAGACATGAGCCACAATGCCCAGCTAATTTTTGTATTTTTAGTAGAGACAGGGTTTCACCATGTTGGACAGGCTGGTCTCGAACTCCTGACCTTAGGTGATCTACTCTCATAGGCCTCACAGAGTGCTCAGATTACAGGCGTGAGCCATGGAACCTGACCCTTTAACTACATTTTAATTTAGTTTGTAGTTTAGTTTAGACAGTGTATACATTTATATTACTTTTATGACTAAAAGCTATAACAATATGGTAGTTATATTTTGTTATATAGTAACATTATAATTAAAAGTATCAGTAGACCCTGAAGTGTTCAGGAAGAAATTTTTCTCTTGAAAGAATGTAGCCTACTCAACTTTAAGAAAGACTGCTCTACACCACTACCAGAGGATCTTTCTCAATCACAAATATAATTGTGTTTCCATCCTGATTAATTTTTTTCAGTGGCTTCCTAAGTCTTTAATCTAAGGATAAAATTTAAACTGCTTTGCATGGACTATAAACCTTTCCTTTCCTATTGACCTTCCTCCCTCTTCTCACTTTATACTCCAAGTAAACTGAACTCCTTGTTCCCTTGCAACACTTTCTCTTGCCTCTCTGCCTTTGCGTGTATGATTCTCTGTGCTTGGCATATACTCCTCACAGGTATCAATCAGACAAACTCAGTCTTCAGTACAATCTTACTTCCCTAGGTAGACTTATGGATATAAACTATGTCTGTCCTTTCACTTTATAGCTTTTTTTTTTTTTTTTTTTTTTGGAGACAGTCTTGCTCTGTTGCCCAGGTAGTGGTGTGATCTCAGCTCACTGCAACCTCTCCACCTCCCAGGTTCAAATGATTCTCCTGCCTCAGCATCCTGAGTAGCTGGGATTACATGCATGCATTACCACACTCAGCTAATTTTTAAATATTTTTAGTAGAAACAGGGTTTCACCATGTTGGTCAGGCTTGTCTCAAACTCCTGACCTCGTGATCCACCTGCCTCGGCCTCCCAAAGTGCTGGGATTACAGGTGTGAGCCACCGTGCCCAGCCTTATTTATGTAGTTATTAATTCATCTATGTAAGTGAATGTGGGAATAGTGGGAATAGGTATTGCATAGTGGTTAAAAGTGCTGGTTTAGGCATCAGATTGCCTGAATTTGCATCTTCCCTCTTTCACCTCCTAAACATGTGACTCTTGTTAGGGTACCTACCCTTTTTATGCCTCCGTTTCCTCATTTGTAAATGGGAATGATAGTAAATACCTACTTTCCAGAATTGTTATACAGACTTAATGCAGTCTTATTTTTATGAAACTAAGCATAGTCCCTGGCACATGGAAAGCATGATAAGGTGCTCTAATATTCATTGAATACTTACTTTATGGCAGGCACTGTGCTAGGCTTGAGACCATAGAGATGTCAAGAGAGCCATAGGGCATAATCCTTGCTTTATGGGCTTGCATTCTAGTGAGAGACTGACAAAGACGCAACCAAACATATAAACAGATAAATTAGAATGTGGTTAATACTAAGAAGAAAATAAACTAGGCAAAAAGACAGAGACTAATGGGATGGAGAGAGAACAAACTTCAAAAACAGTGGCCAGGGAATGCATTCCTGAGGAGATATTTAAGGCAATCTGAAGGACGAGAAGAAGACATCTGAAACGTGAGGGCCAGGCAGGAGCAATGACTTGTAGGGGGAGGGGTGCCCCGAGTCAGGAGAGAATTTGGCTTCTCTGAGGATGTGGAAAAGCCAGTCTCGACAGAGAGCAGTAAGCAGGAGTGTGGTGGGTACAAAGTAAAAGAGGAAGGCAGAGCATAGCATGGGGTTTGGTAAAACATTGGAAAGTTTAAACAGGGAAGTAGCATGATTTAGTCTACATTTTAAGATGGTCCCTCTGGCTGCCAGGTCTAGAATGGATCAGAGGAGGACAAGAGAGAAATGTTGCGATTAGGAGTAATGTGGTGGCATGGGTGACAAGGAGAAAGGATGGGCAGATTTGGAATGTATTTTAGAGGTGGAATTGATCAGACTTGCTGATGAATTGGATACAGAGAGAGAAGAATTAAGACAATTAATAGGCTCAGATGGGTCAGAAATGCAGTGTCTGAGATACCAGAGAGTAGCTGTCAGCAGATAGTTGGATCTGAGTGCAGGATGCAGAGGAGAGGACTAGGGTAATGTAAATATAAAAATAATCATTGTGGGAGTAGAAATTAGAGAAAGAGAGAGTAGAGGCCAGGCGTGATGGCTCATGTCTGTAATCCCAATACTTTGGGAGGCCGAGGTGGGTGGATCACAAGGTCAGGAGTTTGAGACCAGCCTGGCCAATTATGGTGACACCCCTCTCTACTAAAAATACAAAAATTAGCTGGGCGTGGTGGTGTGTGCCTGTAGTCCCAGCTACTTGGGAAGCTGAAGCAGAATCCCTTGAACCTGGGAGGCGGAGGCTGCAGTGAGCTGAGATTTCGCTACTGCACCCCAGCCTGGGTGACAGAGCAAGGCTCTGTCTCAAAAAAAAAAAAAAAAAAAAGAAAGAGAGAGAGATTGAGAATAGAGAGAAACGAGAAGAGGGCCTGGTCTGAACCCTGAGGAGGGAGAGGCTGCCATGGCTCTGAAGTTGGAGCCAGTGTTGTGTTGATGCTGGAGGAGAATGAGAATATATTATGCTAGGTATTTGCCATTTGCTCCTATCCATCCATTCTCTACCTTCCTTGACTTTGCTCTGTGCCCCAGGGAACTGATCATTATGGAATGCAACACCCCAACTTCCTGGCCCTCTGGCTATTGGTTGGATCAGCCAAAGGGAAGTACCAGCAGGAGATACAAGAGGAGAGACACATTAAAAATTAGGGAGCCATAATTCCTTATGGGGAGGCAGGGGCTGTATTTGTCTGCCACTGTGGCTCCTACTAGGCAGGCCCCACTTGCCTGCTTCCAGCTCTCACTTCAGTTCTACTGCTCCTCCTCCTTGCTGCTCAGGCCTTAACAGCTCCCCATGGTTGCTAGTCCCTCAGTGCTGCAGCACCCTTGTTAGTCCTGGAATCTGCCTGCTACTCTGTAACTAGTACTTTCCTAAAATTCTCTTCAGAATGCACTTGAGTATGCTCTCTGTTTCCTTCTTCCCTTGCCACCTCAGAAAGTGTATCTCTATACTCTGTCCTAGCGAGAGATCATTGTTACCTGTTACTAGCAGCTTGTTAGCCTGCAGGTGGGAAGTCAGGGGCTGGTGTTGTCTGCTGTTCTGATTAACCCCCAGTCTCAGGCAGGCACTATGTCTCAGGGTCTTGGGTGCTGGTGGCATTCTCTGCATTCATGCCCTTGTCCCAGCTGTCATTCTGAGCCCATCATACATACATCCTGCCTCTTCCCAAGGGGTAGAGAGTCTTGTTCTGTTTCTTCTGTGAGCTGTAATCAGTTTCCACAGCTCTTCCTTTCCCCTTCCTTCACTTCCTTCCCCTCCTTCCCCTCCCACTCCTTCCCTTCCTTCCCTTCCCTTCTCTTCCTTCCTCTTTCTCTCTTTCCCTTCCTTTCTTCCCTCCCTCCCTCCCTCCCTCCCTTCCTCCCTTCCTTCCTTCCTTCCTTCCTTTCTCTTTCC